TTTGCATATGGTCTCTGATTGGCCAGCTTCAATAGGAGCCCCTGGTGGAGAAAAGAGTTCATGGCAGAAACGAGGACATGAGAAGGAAATTTGCATATGGTCTCTGATTGGCCAGCCTCAATTCCAAGATTCCGAGATGGCAAAGAGAGGAAAGGAAAAGGCCAGAGGGGGCTGGGTCAGACAATTACCAATACAGACCAGATTTGGCACACAAAGCCCCCATGACCCACTCGACATCCTACTGCAGTTTGGAGGAGGATGAACCATGGATGATGGGACTTGCAGTACCTTCACTCACATGCTGTTAACCTCATCCAATGACTGATCAGGACCAAACTTGGAACATAGACCTCTCATGACCCACTTTACGTCCTGGTGTGGTTTGGCCGGGGATGGACCATGGATTATGGGACTTGCAGTACCTTTGCTCAATTCTTGAGACCACTGCAACCCTCATCCAATTACCGATAAAGACCAAACTTGGCACACTGAGTCTCCATGACCCACTCTACATCCTGGTGCGGCTTGGAGGAGGATGCACCATGGACGATGGGACTTGCAATACCTGCACTCCCTTCCTAAAACCATTATAACTGCCAACAATGATGGATCAGGACCACAATTTACACAGAGAGCCCGCATAACCCACTCTACATCCTGGTGCGGTTTGGAAGAATTTGACAATGGATGATGGGACTTGCAGTCACTTCACTCACTTCCTGAGACCACTGAGACCCTTGCCAATGACTGATGAAGATCAAACTTGGCACAGAGAGTCCCCATGACCCTCTCTACATCCTGGTGTACTTTCGAGGAGGACAGACAATGGATGATAGGACTTCAAGTACCTCCACTCTCTTCCCAAGACTGCTGCAACCCTCATCTAATGTCCGAACAAAACCAAACTTGGCACACAGAGCCCCCATGACCCACTCTACATCCTACTGCGGTTTGGAGTAGGGCATACCATGGATGATGGGACTTGAAGTACCTCTACTCGCTTTCCGAGACTGCTGCGACCCTCAACAATGACTGAACAACACCAAACTTGGCACACCGGGTCTCCATGATGCACTCTACATCCTGGTGCGGTTTGGAGGATGATGCACCATGGATGATGGGACTTGCAGTTCCTTCACTCACTTAGTGAAACTACTGAGACCCTCATCCAATGACTGATAAAGACCAAACTTGGCACACAGAACCCCCATGGCCAACTCAACATTCTGGTGAGGTTTGGGGGAGAACAGACTATGGATGATGGGACTTCAAGTACCTCCACTCCCTTCCGAAGATTGCTACAACCCTCTTCTAATGACCAATCAAGACCAAACTTGGCATACAGAACCGCCATTACCCACTTTCTCTAATAACCCGGGCAGCGCCGGGTCCCCAAGCTAGTATATAATAAAGGTGAAAGTTTGTATGCGGCGGACAAAAGTGTGGCGGTGCGACGGGAGGAGTATGTGCCAGTGTTTTGATTGGCCAGCCTGAAAGTTCCAACATTCTGATTGGCTGCCGCAGTGGTGCTATTTGCATATGGTCTCTGATTGGCCAGCTTCAATAGGAGCCCCTGGTGGAGAAAAGAGTTCATGGCAGAAACGGGGACATGAGAAGGAAATTTGCATATGGTCTCTGATTGGCCAGCCTCAATTCCAAGATTCCGAGATGACAAAGAGAGGAAAGGAAAAGGCCAGAGGGGGCTGAGTCAGACAATTACCAATACAGACCACACTTGGCACACAGAGCCTGCAAGACCGACTCTACATCCTACTGCAGTTTGGAGGAGGATGAACCATGGATGATGGGACTTGCAGTACCATCACTCACATTCTGAGACCGCTGTTAACCTCATCCAATGACTGATCAGGACCAAACTTGGCACATAGACCTCTCATGACCCACTTTACGCCTGGTGTGGTTTGGCGGGGGATGGACCATGGATTATGGGACTTGCAGTACCTTTGCTCAATTCTTGAGACCACTGCAACCCTCATCCAATTACCGATAAAGACCAAACTTGGCACACTGAGTCTCCATGACCCACTCTACATCCTGGTGCGGTTAGGAGGATGCACCATGGACGATGGGACTTGCAATACCTGCACTCCCTTCCTAAGACCATTATAACTGCCAACAATGATGGATCAGGACCACAATTTACACAGAGAGCCCGCATAACCCACTCTACATCCTGGTGCGGTTTGGAAGAATTTGACAATGGATGATGGGACTTGCAGTCACTTCACTCACTTCCTGAGACCACTGAGACCCTCGCCAATGACTGATCAAGACCAAACTTGGCACACAGAGTCCCCATGACCCACTCTACATCCTGGTGCACTTTCGAGGAGGACAGACCATGGATGATGGGACTTCAAGTACCTCCACTCCCTTCCCAAGACTGCTGCAACCCTTACTAATGTCCGATCAAGACCAAACTTGGCACACAGAGCCACCTTGACCCCTCTACATCCCGATGCTGTTTGGAGAAGGACGGACGATGGATGATGGGACTTCCAGTGCAGTTCAGGGCAGGATGGGCCACTAATGATGGGATTTGCAGTACCTTCACCCGATTCACTTCCCACAGAACATTGTAGCCCCTACAAATCACAGACCAGGCCCAAACTTGGCACACAGAGTACTCATGGCCCACTCTACATCCTGATGCAGTTCTAAGGGGGATGGACCATGGATGATGGGATTTGCAGTATCTTTACTCACTTACTGAAACCACTGCAACCCTCATCCAATGACCAATCAAGGCCAAATTGGCACACAAAGCCCCCATAACCCACTCTACATCCTGGTGCACTTTCGAGGAGGACGGACCATGGATGATGGGACTTCAAGTACCTCCACTCCCCAAAACTGCTGCAACCCTCATCTAATGACCAATCAAGACCAAACTTGGCACACAGAGCCCCCATGACCTACTCTACATATTGCTGCAGTTTTGGAGGAGGGTTGACCATGGATGATGGGACTTTCAGTACCTTCACTCACATTCTGAGACCTCTGCAAACCTCATCCAATGACTGATCAAGACCAAACTTGGCACATAGACCTCTCATGACCCACTTTATGTCCTGGTGTCGTTTGGAAAAATTTGGCGATGGATGATGGGACTTGAAGTACCTTCATTCACTTACTGAAACCACTGCGACCCTCATCCAATGACTGATAAAGACCAAATTTGGCACACAGAGCCCCCATGACCCACTCTATATCCTGCTGCTGTTTGGAGGAGGGTGGACCATGGATGATGGGACTTCAAGTTCCTTCACTCACTTCCTGAAAACAATGCAGCCATTATCCAATGACCAATAAAGACCAAATTTGGCATACAGAACCGCCATTACCCACTTTCTCTAATAACCCGGGCAGCGCTGGGTCCCCAAGCTAGTTTAAAATAAAATCTGGGTGGTGTTTGGAATAGTCATGCTATTCCGTTATTTTAGAAACTATGCGCTGTCTTATGAAACCTTCAAAAACTGGAAGGCGTCACTTGGCAGAAGCCTTGGTGGGCTGCCGCGCTTCTTCTCAAACACATCTCAGGAAGTCAATCACATCAATCCATCAAATCAACCCGTCCCTCTATTTATACTCCGGCGGGTAGGAGTCCATGAAAGCCTCTGCCAAATAAAACTTGGTTGGCCTTTAAGGAGCTCGGAAACTCTTGTTTAATGGCAGAATAAAAAGGCAGCAAGGTAACGGAAACTAAAGGTACGTCCCTGGAGGTTAATCTTCCTCTTTCTCTGCCCCAAAAACTAGAATCTGAGAATGGGAAGGGTCCCTCCTGAGGCAATCTAGTCCAACCCCTTTCTGCCACATAGGAAGACGCAATCCAAGCCCTCCTGACAGATGGCCATCTAGTCATGAGATCAAGCAGCTTCCCTGATTGCATCAATCCACATGGAATAGGGTCTCCCTTTTTTCCTACTGCGAGGGTTGAATGAAAAATAATGCCCTCACCTTTGTTACTTGGGTTTGGATGGGAATATTTTAATAAATCAAACACAGACTAATCCTTAGAATGTGCTCTTTAACTACCACTATTCACTTTCCCACATAATCACCAGACAATTGGATAAATTTCTGCCAACAATGAACAAGTTTTCTGAAGCCGTCACGGAAGAAGTCAAAACTTTGGTTCCACAACCAGCGTCTCACAGTTCTCTCAACATCTGCATCAGAAGCATCACGATGTCCCGCAGATCTTCTTTCATTATGGGGAACAGATGGAAGTCAAATGGTACTAAATCAGGACTGTATGGAGGATGTTGTACGGTGGTGAGATCCAGTCTCTGAAGTTCTGCGGTGGTGTGCTTTCATTTCAGGCATCAGTATCCTGAGTACCCATCGTGCAAAGATCTTCCAATAGCCAAGCAAAGCAATAATGTGATTCACACGTTCTTGTGAAATGCCGATTATGCTTGAAAGTTCTCTCTGAGTTATACGATGATCATCCTGAATCTATCTGTCAACCTTTTCCTTGTGAAACTCAGTGGTTGCTGTCACAGGACATCCAACTCTTTGTTGCGTAAGTCAGATGTTCCCACCTCAACATCTTTAAACTTTCTTGCCCAATGACGCACAGTACTCACATCTCCTTTGGGGTGACACCTTCTGCTGTCAAGAATTAATTCAATGACTGCATATTGCTTAAGTCGCATTGACTGACTGTCACATTGACTGACTGTCTGCACCGTCAGTCAATGCGACTGACTGCACTTTAACAACACAACCATTTTCACTTTAATAACACAACCGTTCAATGCTAAGGCTTCCCGCCAAAATGGAACTGTAGAGGAGAGTCTACTGAACAAGCCAGTACCTGCCACATACCAGTACTGCCATCTGTTGAGGAATTACCAAGGTGGAGGCATTACTATTCATTCAACCCTCTTATTTTCTGCTATTCCTAGCATTGTTGTTTTGCTTTGCTTGCTTGATTTTTTATTTGTTTGTTGTTTCAATGTCAATGCCAGACTCACCTGACACTCGCATTTGAGTTTCTGCTCCTTCTGGAAGGCCAGCGTACTGGTCAGCACAGTGGAAGTGTAGCAGAAACAGTGTTGGATTTTGCGCTCATCAATCTCTGTGTAGCTGCAAGGAAAAAAAAGAAGGACACAATGAAATTGATCATTCTGAATGATGAAACTATTGCCCACTGGGTGAAAGTTTGTTTCTTTTTTCGTTGTAATAATTGCTCAAGCGGGGAGACTTTGGGGGCTCCTTTCTCCCTCATTTTTACAGCTATTGGGATGAAACTTGCCACAATGGTAGAACCCATTCACCACTGTGGGCCCATCAAGTTTCAGAACGTTTCACTTGTCCACAGATTTTTGGGGAATTTTTCAAATTTTGTATCAACAACTTAAAAAAAAACGACAGGAGTGATCTTCTTGAATTCTATATACTATGTGTTGAGGCTCAGCGTCACAGCAGCGTATCTACTACCAGTTGCAGGAGAAGGAGGAGTGATGCTGAGTCAGACTTGGATCAGCGTCAGCTGAAGCGCATTCGTGATATCATTTTGGCCCCGAGCGATTCGGAGGGCTTTGCAGGGTTCGGCCCTGAGGACTTAGTAGAGTCAGATTACCGGGGAGTAAAGCGGGTTGCCAGTGAGTCTGACAGTGATAACGATACCCTGAGTAAGAGACTTAAAGATACAGCTGACAATTCCAGTTCATGGGAATTGGAAGTCAGTGAGGATGAAATGGAGGAGGAACTGGATTGGACTCTTGTTAAGAACATTAGGGACATATGCACCCAAGCTACACCCAGTGATGAGTTTGAAGGGTTCCAAGATACTTGGAAGGTTCATCTTGGCAGGATCAGGAATTGGATCAACAATGGCAGCATTGGCATGGCCAAGAGGCAGTAGCTGAGGGAAATGATTCAGATGCTAGTAATGAAGATCAATCAAGTGATGGTGACTGTGAATAAATTGAGCACGCTGGGATGTGTAACTTTGCAGAAGACAAAGTGTTGCTTATGTGCTTTGTGCTGCCTAACCTCTGTTTGGGTCCCTGGTATCCAGCTTTCCTGCCTTGTGTATCTTGACTTCGGCACCGTTCTACGTGAGTGACTTCATCCTGCCCCTGACCTTGGAATCGTCTTTGGACTATGCAACTGCTTATCGGACTTTGTTATTGTTCTGGACTCTGCTTGATTTAGAAGCTGTTTTGATTTTGTGTTTGCCACACATCCTTGTTAACTCCTGCTTTCCTTTTTGCTGAGCTCAAGTCCTGGAAGATCCGGCTTATCGCTTCTTTGTTTACCTGCCTGAAGGCTCTTTTGTTTTGCTAATTGCACTGCTGTTAAGTGCTCTTTTCAGTTAGAGACTCATTAAAGACTGCTGTTAACACGTTAATTGCTGTGTAAGACAATCTCTGTTACCTGAGTCACAACACTATGACACAAGATAACAGGGAATCATTCCCCCTAGCTTTCAGAAATATTCATATATTTACTGATCTCTTGTTATAGTAATGGCATTTTTACTAACAACACTTTAAAAACACTTTAGAAATGAAATGCCGGTTCACCCTAACTTTTTAATGAGTTTTGAAACATTTTTTTCATCAATCGTACAGCCTTATTTATAATTTATTATTTGTGTTGCCTCAGTCTGGCATTTTTGCTTTATTGTTCCACCCGGCAGGGTGGTTTGATCAAATAAACCTATGGAACGATCTCCTTGCCTCCAGTGCTTGATTGGACAAAACAGGAATGGGTAAACCTCAGCTTCTCCCTCCAGGTGTTTTGGACTTCAACTTCCACAATTCCTAACAGCCAGTAGGCTGTTATTGTGGAGGTTAGAGTACAAAACACCTGGAAGGAGGGCCGAAGTTTGCCCATGTCTGGGATAAAAGGACCCTGGAGGAATGGGAAGGTGGGGAGACCAAAAAGACTTCTTAGAGTCCATAAAGGATCCTACGGGATGAGATGTCCCTGGGGTTGGGCACTAAAGGGTCACCCTCAGGCCCTTGACTCACCTCTCCCCACCAAGTTTGTTGAAAGCGCAGGCCAGGGCGACCACTTGGGAGGTGGACTTGCTGATGACCGGGACACAGAGCATGGAGGTCACCTCGAAGCCCAGCATGCTGTTCAGTTGCTTATGCTCTTCCTGGAAGAGAAAAGATGAGGCATTTTAGGCAACAAAGATCATATAACCCTAGAGTTGAAAGAGACCCCCAAAGGCCACCTAGTCCAACACTTCCGCGAGACACAATCAAAGCCCTCTTGAAGGATGGTCATCCTGTCTACGTTTAGAAACCTCAAAACAGAGGTTGGATGGCGATCTGTTGGGAAGGCTTCAATTGTGTCTTCCTACCTGGGACCCTTCCAATTCTATTGGAATGCAGACTGTATTGGTGTGTAATAGAATATCCTCTGGAGGTTTCTAAATGTTGCTGTGGCCACACTTCCATCCCTCTTTCTGTCTTTCTTTCCCTCTTTCATTTGCTCCCTCTTTTCTTTCCCTTTTCTTCTTTCCTTCTCTCCTTCCTTCCTTCTCTACCTCTTTCCTTCCATCCCCTCTTTTTCTTTTCCTTTCATTTTCTCTCCTTTCTTCCTTCTCTCTTTCCTTCCTTCCTTCACTTTTTGCTTCCATCCTTCTTTCTCTCTTTCCTCTTTCCATCCCTTACTTTTTCTTTCCTTCCTTCGCTCCCTCTTTTCTTCCTTCCCTTTTTTCCTTCTCTCATTCCTTCCTCCTCTACCTCTTTCCTTCCTTCCCCTTTTCCTTTTCCTTTCTCCCCTTTCTTCCTTCTCTCTTTCCTTCCTTCCTTTGTCTTTTGCTTCCACCCTTCCTTCTCTTTCCTTCTTTCCTTCCCTCCCTCTTTCCTTCTTTCCTTCGCTCCCTCTTTCTCTCCTTCCTTTGCTCCCTTTTCTTCCCTTCTCCCCTTCTTTCCTCCTCTACCTCTTTCCTTCCTTCCCCTTTTCCTTTTCCTTTCTCTCCTTTCTTCCTTCTCTCTTTCCTTCTTCCTTGTCTTTTCTTCCCCTTCCTTCTTCTTCTTTCCTTGCCTCCTTTTTTCTCTCCTTCCTTTTCCTTTCTCTCCTTCCTTCTCTACCTCTTTCCTTCCTTTCCCCTTTTTCTTTTTCCCCTTCCTCCCTTCCTTCCTCTCCTTCCTTCCTTCCTTCCTTCCTTCCTTCCTTCCTTCCTTCCTTCCTTCCTTCCTTCCCTCTTTGCTTCCATGCTTTCTTCTCTTTCCTTCTTTCTTTCCCTCTTTCTTTCTGTCTGCTTCTTCTTTCTTTCTTTCTTTCTTTCTTTCTTTCTTTCTTTCTTTCTTTCTTTCTCCCCTTCCTTCCCTCCTTCTTCACTTTTTTCTGTATTGCCATTTAGCTTTTTTATGTTTTTAATTCCTTTCTGCTGGTTTGGGGGCTTTTTTTATGAGTTATGGTCACTCGTTAGCCTGATACGTATATTGTGTCCAAATTTGGTGTCAATTTGTCTGGTGGTTTTTGAGTTCTGTCAATCCCAGAAACGAACATTACATTTTTATTTATATAGATTTGCAAAGATAGATTTCCCATGTCAAAATAAAATATCAGACATGTGTGACCTGCCAATTTACGATGGCCCCATATATTATTTATCAGGGCTTTCTTAGGCCAAGGAAGACTCAGGAGACCCTTCTGCCTGTCCCTTCCTCCGAAATATCGCATGCAGCACTTGGTAGTTCTTGGCAGCCCTTCTGGGCTCTTGGACTGCCAATCCCAAAATCCCCCAGACACAGTATTTCACCCTTTAATATAATTTCATGCTTCAGGATTCCAAGGCACATCGGAGCGGATGGTCCGGTATTTGCAGAGAGGCGAACCGCATTGGCCTCGCTTCAAAGCAATTGCCGCTGCCGGCCACGTCTCAGTGCGCTCAGCAAAGCGGCGGCGTAATTAAGTTGCCCAATTAATCCCATGGAAAGCCTGACAAATCCAGGAGACACAAGGGGCAGCCCAGGGCGCTTTAATTAGGCACCCCAGGCAGGAGGAGGAGGAGGAGGAGGAGGAGGACCTTGGAGCGCTGCAGATCTCAGCTAGAATAGTGCAGAAGGAGAAGGTGGGAAGGCAAGGCTGCATTGCAAACAAGGTCCTTCTTGGCAACACGCAGCCCAGCCATGGCTCATTCAGGATCAGCTTGGAAGTCACTCGCGCTCATTCACTAACAAACAAACAACTGTAACAGATAGGTTGGCTTGCAGTTGACCATCCATGGAGGTCTTCCATCTGCAGAAGGTACTTTGGATCATAGAAGAATAGAGTTGGAAGGGACTCCTAAAGGTCATCCAGCCCAACCTTCTTTCAGCCAGGCAGGAAGACACAACTGAAGCCTTCTCAACTGATGGAGATCCAGCCTCTTTTTCCAAATCTTCAGAGAAGGAGACTCCAATGCAGTCTATAATCCAGTAGAGTTGGAAGGGATCCCCAAAGGCTATCCAGTCCCACCCTTCCACAAGACTGGAAGATACAATTAAAGCCCTCTTGGAGGATGGCCATCCAGCCTCTGTTTTGAAACCTCCAGAGAAGGAGACTCCAATGAAGCCTATAATCCAGTAGAGTTGGAAGGGACCTCCAAATGCTATCCAGTCCAACCCTTCCACAAGACTGGAAGACACAATTAAAGCCCTCTTTGAGGATGGCCATACAGTCTCTGTTTAGAAACCTCCAGAGGAGGTTCTACTACACTCCAATACAGTCTACATTCCAATAGAGTTGGAAAGGTCCCTCAAAGGGCATCCAGTCCAGTCTCCTTCTGCTAGGCAGGAAGACACTATTGAAGTCTTCCCAATAGATAGCCATCCAGCCTCTGTTTTGAAACCTTCAGAGAAGGAGACGCCAATGCAGTCTATAATCCAGTAGAGTTGGAAGGGACCTCCAAAGGCTATCCAGTCCAACCCTCCAAAGGCTGTTTAGGAACCTCCAGAGAAGGAGATTCTACTACACTCCAATACAGTCTACATTCCTCAAAGGGCATCCAGTCCAACCTCCTTCTGCCAGGCAGGAAGACACAACTGAAGCCTTCCCAACAGATGGTGATCCAATCTCTGTTTTGAAACCTCCAGAGAAGGACACTCCAATGCAGTCTATAATCCAGTAGAGTTGGAAGGGACCTCCAAAGACTATCCACTACAACCCTTCCACAAGACTGGAAGACACAATTAAAGCCCTCTTGGAGGATGGCCATACAGTCTCTGTTTAGAAACCTCCAGAGACGGACACTTCAATGCTGTCTATAAAGAGAAAGAGAGAAGTAAGAAGGAAAGAAGGAAGGAGAGATAGAGGAAGAGATGGAAGAAAGGAGAGAAAGAAACAAGGACATGTGGAAAGGAAGGAAGGAAGGAAGGAAGGAAAGAGAGAAGGAAGGATGGAACCAAAGAGCAAAGGAAGAAGGGAGATAAAAAGGTAGAGAAGGAAGAGAGAAAGAGGGAGGGAAGGAAGGAGAGAAGGAAGGATGGAACCAAAGAGCAAAGGAAGAAAGGATAGAAAGAGGTAGAGAAGGAAGAGAGAAAGAGGGAGGGAGGGAAGGAGAGAAAGAAGGATGGAACCAAAGAGTAAAGGATGAAAGGAGAGAAAGAGGTAGAGAAGGAAGAGAGAAAGAGGGAGGAAAGGAAGGAGAGAAGGAAAGATAGAACAAAAGAGCAAAGGAAGAAAGGAGAGACAGGTCGAGAAGGAAGAAAGGAGAGAAAGAAAGAAGGAGAGGAAGAGGGAGGAAAGGAAGGAAGGAAATAGAGAAGGAAGAACAGAAGCACAGAGCAAAGGAAGGAAGGAAGGAAGGAAGGAAGGAAGGAAGGAAGGAAAGATAGAGGTAGAGAAGGAAGAAAAGAGAGAAAGAAAGGAGAGAAAGAGGGAAGCAATGAGTGGCAGGTACAGCTAGTAAATCAATAAAATAAGGGATATACGATGTGCTAGAAGAACTGAATATTTTCAAACAGAAAGTGAGCAAGCACTTGTCTCCGTCCACCATTGCCACACAAGAGGAATAAAGCAGGCTTCTTCATCTTTGCAAAAAACATACAAAGCAGGGCTGCATCTATATTAGATTTAATGCCGTTTGACACTGCTTACACTGCCATAACGAAGTACTATGGAATCATGGAGAGTTGTAGTTTAGTGGGGCCTTGCAGTGAAGGCTGAAGATCTTGTGAAGCTACAACTCCCAGAAGGGAAAGCTGGGTCAATCTAAATCAGATGCTCCTTGGGTTCAGCACCATGGACAGACTTACCAAGCTGATGTCTTGCAAGGTGATGGACTTTCTCTGCTCCACGACGCTCCCCAAATGTCCCATGGTTAACTGTTTGGAGGAAAGAGAGAAGAGAGTGAAGCAAATTGTGGCCAAAGAGGGTCTTCTATGCAAGTTGAGGTCCTCCACCCCAATTAACTCCCGTCACATGAGATAGAGAATAAGGAGGTGAATCACTTGCCCTTTTCCCTTTACGTTTTCTACCAGATGTAATGTCCTTCCTAAATCTACACTGTCATCACATGCAAAGATGTGGACAGATTCTCACTACTACCAACCAAGGAAGTCTTTGGTATCAATGGAAAGACCTCCTCATTTCTTACAGCTAGGGAGTCTCCAACTTTGGGGACCTTCTAGACGCCCTCAAGGTACCTCTTTGAAACGTGTGGCTTCTGTCCATACTGGGAAGAACACCACCTCTTTCTGGCCCCTTCTACACTTCCATATATAATCCAGATTATCTGCTTTGAACTGGATTATGTGGCAATGTAGACTCATCATGTTAATCCACTTCAAAGCAGATAATCTAGATTATATATGGCTGTGAACGGGCCTATGTTGCTGCTAATAACATTGTGTCTGCACCCAAACTTTACATAGGTTCAGCATTGCCTATATACACTTCCACATAAAATCCAGATTATCTGCTTTGAACTGGATTATGTGGCAATGTAGACTCATCATGTCAATCCAGTTCAAAGCAGATAATCTGGATTATATATGGCTGTGAACGGGCCTATGTTGCCACTAATGACATTGTGTCTGCACCCAAACTTTACATTGGTTCAGCATTGCCTATATACACTTCCATATATAATCCAGATTATCTGCTTTGAACTGGATTATGTGGCAATGTAGACTCATCATGTTAATCCACTTCAAAGCAGATAATCTGGATTATATATGGTTGTGAACGGGCCTATGTTGACGCTAATGACATTGTGCCTGCACCCAAACTTTACATAGGTTGAGCATTGCCTATATCCACTTCCATATATAATCCAGATTATCTACTTTGAACTGGATTATGTGGCAATGTAGACTTGTCATGTCAATCCAGTTGAAAGCAGATAATCTGGATTATATATGGCTGTGAATGGGCCTATGTTGCCGCTAATGACATTGTGTCTGCACCCAAACTTTACATAGGTTCAGCATTGCCTATATACACTTCCATATATAATCCAGATTATCTGTTTTGAACTGGATTATTTGGTAATGTAGACTCATCATATTAATCCAGTTCAAAGCAGATAATTTGGATTATATGGCAGTGTGGAACGGGCCTCTGTTGCCACTAAGGGAATTGTGTCTGAACCCAATATTTACCTACATTGTGCATTGTTTATATAGAAACTGGAAATACACCTTGGGTGATAACTCTGAAGTTCAGACTAAAACCCAGAGCGCATCAACATTGCAGAATGAATGCCGTTTGATACTCCGTTAATGGCCATGGCTCAATGCTATGGATTAGTGGGATTTGTAGTTTGGTGAGGCACCAGCCCTCTTTGGTGGAGAAGTTTTTCTAAAGCTCTAACTATCAAAGAGAAAAAGGTAGAGAAGGAAAAGGAGAGAAAGAAAGAAGGAGAGGAAGAGGGAGGAAAGGAAGGAAGGAAATAGAGAAGGAAGAACGGAACCATGTAGACTGCGTCATGGAGGAGGGAGGGTGTTCCATTGTCCAGGGAGCCCCCATAGAAGTCGTGGTGGGGAGGGGGAGATACGGGAAAGGGAGACCTTTAATTCGGTCTAGGGAACGTGGATCAACATTAGTAATTCCAAAGCGGTCTCCTGATGTGGGAAGTTGGTGTAACCAGGAAGGCGGTCCCTCCGGGTTGAAGGTGGTGCTGTTGAACGCCAGATCTGTCAATGGTAAAACAGCTTTCATCCAGGATTTGATCCTGGATGAACGGGCAGACCTGGCGTGCATCACAGAGACCTGGCTGGATGAAGCTGGAGGAGTGAACTTGACCCAGCTTTGTCCACCAGGTTTCTCTGTGCAGCACCAACCGAGATCCGGAGGGCGGGGAGGCGGGGTTACAGTGGTCTATAGAGATTCCATTCCTCTGACCAGGGGCCCCATCCTGCAGTCAACAAATTTTGAATGCGTCCACCTGAGGGTGGGTGACCGGGACAGTAGGGATTCTGTTAGTGTACCGTCCACCTCGCTGCACTACAGACTCCCTGACTGAGCTAGCGGGGGTGGTCTCAGACCTGGCATTGGAGTCCCAACGGCTACTCGTGCTGGGGGACTTCAACGTCCACGCCGAGGCCACCTTATCGGGAGCGGCTCAGGACTTCATGTCTGCCATGGCAACCATGGGGCTGTCCCAACAGGTATCTGGCCCCACCCACAGTGCTGGACACACATTGGACTTGGTTTTCTGTCAGGGATGGGAGGAAGGTGGCGGTGTTGAGGAGTTATCCATCTCTCCGTTGCCATGGACCGACCACCACCTGGTCAGCTTTAGACTCACTGCACCCCCTAACCTCCGCAGAGGTGGAGGACCCATTAAGTTGGTCCGCCCCAGGAGGCTTATGGATCCGGATGGATTCCTGACGGCTCTTGGGAATTTCCCGCCTCCTCGGTTGGTGATCCTGTCGATGCCCTGGTCGCTCTCTGGAATGGGGAGATGACCAGGGCAATTAGACACGATCGCCCCAGAACGTCCCCTCTCAAGTAGCCGAGCTAAACCAGCTCCTTGGTTCACTGAGGAGCTGGCAGCGTTGAAGCGAAAGAAGAGGGTACTAGAGAGCGTGTGGCGTTCGGATCCGAGCGAGCCAAATCGAACACGGTTTGTGTCCTTTTTAAGGGCATACGCCGCGGCAATAAAAGCCGCAAAGAAGACTTTCTTTGCGGCCACTATTGCGTCTGCAAAGAACCGTCCGGCTGAACTGTTCCGAGTTGTCAGAGGCCTTTTAAAACCCACCATGCAGGATGGGTGCCCTGATGACTCGGCAGTTCGCTGTGAAGCCTTTGCTCAGTTCTTTGCAGACAAAGTCGCTTTGATCCGCTCTGGTCTGGATACCATATTAACGGCAGTCTCTGAAGATGTAACACGAGCATCTGCTTGTCCGGTTTTGATGGATTCATTTCAATTGGTTCAATCCGAGGATGTGGACAAGGTGCTTGGAGGAATGAGAGCTACCACATGCATCCTAGACCCCTGCCCATCCTGGCTTCTAAAGGAGGCCAGAGGGGGATTGGCCGAGTGGGTGAAGGTGGTGGTTAATGCCTCCCTTCGGGAAGGCAAAATTCCAGCCAGCTTAAAACAAGCTGTGATAAAACCGCTGTTGAAAAAACCATCACTGGACCCCACTCAATTCGTCAACTATCAGCCTGTTTCCAATCTCCCCTTTTTGGGCAAAGCCATGGAACGTGTGGTGGCCTCACAACTCCAGGCATTCTTGGTAGACACGGATTATCTGGATCCGGCACAGTCTGGCTTTAGGCCGGGGCATGGTACCGAGACAGCCTTGGTCGCCTTAGTGGATGATCTGCGCCGGGAGCTCGACAGGGGGAGTGTGTCCCTGTTGGTGCTGCTGGACCTCTCAGCGGCCTTCGATACCGTCGACCACGGTATCCTTCTGGGACGCCTCGCGGGAATGGGTCTTGGAGGAACTGTTCTACAGTGGCTCCGCTCATTCCTCAAGGGTCGGTCTCAGAAGGTGTTATTGGGAGACTCCTGCTCAACCCCACAACCTTTGTCTTGTGGGGTTCCTCAGGGTTCAATATTGTCTCCCATGTTGTTCAACATCTACATGAAGCCGCTGGGTGAGATCATCCGGAGTTTCGGGGTGCGATGTCATCTGTACGCAGATGATGTCCAACTCTGTCACTCCTTTCCACCTGTTACTAAGGAGGCTGTCGAGGTCCTGAACCGGTGCTTGGCCGCTGTGACGGTCTGGATGGGGGCGAACAAATTGAAATTGAATCCAGACAAGACAGAGGTACTCCTGGTCAGTCGCAAGGCCGAACAGGGTATAGGGTTACAGCCTGTGTTGGACGGGGTCGCACTCCCCCTGAAGGTTCGCAGCTTGGGTGTGATCCTGGACTCATCGCTGAGCCTGGAACCCCAGGTTTCGGCGGTGACCAGGGGAGCATTCGCACAGTTAAAACTCATGCGCCAACTGTGCCCGTACCTTGGGAAGTCTGACTTGGCCATGGTAGTCCACGCTCTGGTTACATCCCATTTAGACTACTGCAACGCTCTCTATGTGGGGTTGCCTTTGAAGACGGCTCGGAAGCTCCAATTAGTCCAACGTCGGCAGCCATGATACTAACTGGAGCGGAGCGCAGGGAGCACACAACTCCTCTGCTGCACCAGCTCCACTGGCTGCCGATTTGCTACCGGGCTCAATTCAAAGTGCTGGCGTTGGCCTTTAAAGCCCTAAACGGTTCTGGCCCAACCTACCTATCCGAACGTATCTCGGCCTATCAGCCCACCAGGACCCTAAGATCTTCTGGGGAGGCCTTGCTCTCTATCCCGCCTGCTTCACAGGTGCGGCTGGCGGGGACGAGAGACAGGGCCTTTTCTGTGGTGGCCCCTCAGCTCTGGAACGCCCTTCCCATGGAGGTAAGATCAGCCTCCTCGCTGATGGTATTCCAAAGAAGACTAAAAACTTGGATGTTCAAGCAGGCATTTGGTTAATTCGGTGCAATGAATGTGTTGATTACGGATTGGTAATATGGATGATGAAATTGGACCACGATTTTAGTTAGGAGATGTATTGGATTGTGATTTACGTGTAATATTGTGTATTATGTTTTTATGGTTTTAATTGTATACTGTGCACTGTATATTTTGTTGTAAACCACGTTGAGTCGCCAGTTAGGCTGAGAAACGGCGGTATACAAGGACAGTAAATAAATAAAATAAATAAACCACAGAGCAAAGGAAGGAAAGATAGAGGTAGAGAAGGAAGAAAAGAGAGAAAGAAAGAAGGAGAGAAAGAGGGAGAGATTGGGCCACGGCCATTAAAGCAGAGTCGAACTGCATTTCCCGACCACTCAAGCGTGATGCAAAACTGGCATCCGGAAACATCCTTATCGCTGTGCAAAACCGCAAGGAACACTCCTGTCCCTGTTGCTGCCGAATGTTTTAACCAGGGGAGATAAGCACTGCACATAAATCAAAGAAGACAGGCACTCGACAAGTCTCCGGTGCAAACACCTGATGCTCAAACTCAGTTAAATTCCACTTGCAAGCAATTACAGTGCTCTTGTCTCTTTGCAAGATCCCCTGGTGAGAGGATGGATCGCCTTTTTCTCTTAAGATTTCTGGAGGATTCATCATGCTTGACATTCATTGGGTGAGTGCATGCAAATCCACACCTTGCAGGGTTCCCTTGCTAGATTGGCCATGAGATGCTGGGAGATGTAGTCCTGGGCTTTACTAAAGACTTGCTCTACAAGAATCATTAACTTCCCAAAGACCTGCTCCATAGCAATGCACCAAGAGCCATTATCTTCTCAAAAGATCTGCTTGACTAGAGTGCCTAGTTTTCCAAAGACTTGCTCTACAGCCGTGTCCCAAAAACCCTTAGCTTTCCAAAAGATACTGCTTGACAAGAGTCACTAGTCTTCCAAAAGACTTGCTCTACATCAACATCTCAAGAGCCATTAGCTTCACAAAAGACCTGCTCTACGGCAACATCCCAAGAGTCATTAGAATCATAGAATCATTGAATCATAGAATCAAAGAGTTGGAAGAGACCTCATGGGCCATCCAGTCCAACCCCCTGCCAAGAAGCAGGAATATTGCATTCAAATCACCCCTGACAGATGGCCATCCAGCCCCTGTTTAAAAGCTTCCAAAGAAGGAGCCTCCACCACACTCCGGGGCAGAGAGTTCCACTGCTGAACGGCTCTCACAGTCAGGAAGTTCTTCCTCATGTTCAGATGGAATCTCCTCTCTTGTACTTTGAAGCCATTCCTCCATTGCGTCCTAGTCTCCAGGGAAGCAGAAAACAAGCTTGCTCCCTCCTCCTCCCTGTGGCTTCCTCTCACATATTTATACATGGCTATCATATCTCCTCTCAGCCTTCTCTTCTTCAGGCTAAACATGCCCAGCTCCTTAAGCCGCTCCTCATAGGGCTTGTTCTCCAGACCCTTGATCATTTGAGTCGCCCTCCTCTGGACACATTCCAGCTTAGAGTCAATATCTCTCTTCAATTGTGGTGCCCAGAATTGGACACAATATTCCAGGTGTGGTCTAACCAAAGCAGAATAGAGCATGGGGAGCATGACTTCCCTAGATCTAGACACTAGGCTCCTATTGATGCAGGCCAAAATCCCATTGGCTTTTTTTGCCGCCACATCACATTGTTGGCTCATGTTTAACTTGTTGTCCACGAGGACTCCAAGATCTTTTTCACACGTACTGCTCTCGAGCCAGGCACCCCCATTCTGTATCTTTGCATTTCGTTTTTTCTGCCAAAGTGGAGTATCTTGCATTTGTCACTGTTGAACTTCATTGTGTTAGTTTTGGCCCATCATCTCTCTCATCTGTCGAGATCCCTTGCTGTTTACATCAACATCTCAAGAGCCACTGGCTTTCCAAAAGACCTGCTTCACAACAACACCCCAAGAGCCTTTCCCTTTCCAAAATATCTCCTCTCCAAGGTCCCATGCTTCTGCACATCATAAATCAAGGCCGTGCTTGAACAACTCACGGGGAAACCGATCTCCTCCTCCAGGACTTTATCTCCCACAACCTGAAAGACACAAGAAAGGAGCATAAAATGGAGGAAATGTGAAACACGTTCAAGCACTTTCAGGCAAGAGAACAAAATAATACTGGAGACAGATACACTATTTGATGTAATGATATCAAATGATAACGCAGCTCGATACAACTTTATTTTTACTAGCTCTACCCGCCACGTGTTGCTATGGCCAACCTTCCCTCCCTCTTTCTCTCCTTCTTTCCCTCCTTCCTTTCTCCTCTTTCTTTCCTTTTTCTTTCCTTCTCTCTTCCTTCACTACCTCTTTCCTTCCTTCCCCCTTTTTTTTCCTTCCTTTTTCTCTTCTTTCTTCCTTCTCTACCTTTTTCCTTCCTTCCTTCACTTTTTTTTTCCATTCTTCCGCCTTTCCTCTCTCTTCCCTTTCTCTTCTTCTTCTCTCTTTCCTTCCTTCCTTCTCTCTTCCTCTTTCCTTCCTTCCTTTCTCTCCTTTTCCTTCTCTACCTCTTTCCTTCTTTGCTTTTGGCTTCCATCCTTCCTTCTCTCTTCCTTCCTTCCCTTCCTTCCTTCTCTCCTTTTCCTTCCCCTTTTCCTTTTCCTTCCTCTTTTCTCTCTTTCTTCCTTCTCTCCTCTTTCCTTCCTTCCTTTCTTTCCTTCTCTCCTTCCTTCTTTCCCTTTTTCTTTCCCTCCCTCTTTCTCTCATTTCTTCCTTCTCTACCTCTTTCCTTCCTTCTTTTTCTTCCTTCTTCTTCTCTTTCCTTCTTTCTTTCCCTTTCCACTTTCTTCTTCTCTTTGTCATTGAATTAATGTGTTCCAGTGACAGAAGGCATTCTCTTTTCACTTTCGTTCCTTCTCTCGTTCTCTCAGGTATTAAGTCTTCTTACCTGGTCTTTCAGTCTTGATTAGGGGATTCCATCCTTCTGTATTCATCTTGTATTCTCTCCCTCTTCCGGAAGGTGACAGTGTGTTATTTAAGTCAGCAGGCTTAAGGTAAGTAACCTACCTCTTTGTTGCGGCCACCTTTTGACTGTTTCCTGCTGATTGTGCAGAAGTGTGAGTATAGACCTCTTTCCTTGCGCTTCCTTCGCTCTTTGCTTTCCATCCATCCTGCTTCGTCTTCCTACTATATCCTCTTCTCTGCCTTATGCGTGACCGTCTGAACTCGAGACCGTGCCAGGACTGAGAGGCGTGTGAGTCACAGCATGAAGTAAGGGCTGGAGTCGAATGGAGGACTTGAACGACAGAGGGATAGCCGTTTCTTGCTAGAAACACATTTGTAGGTCCGGACATGGTCGAGTGTTGGTGACAGAATGAAGGATATTGCCTCATTGTCCGTCCATCACTCTTCCTCTCAGGCTGTCTTTCTCGACATGTATCAGACACTGCCGTCCGTGCTTTGCTGCCCATCTTTCCTTCTACTCGTGTCACTTCCTGTCCTTACCGCAAGATTGGTAGATGAAGGTGTGCCTGCGCTACTCGTTTGTCGTAACTGTGTGCGTTGTGAGGCAAGATGACATTGTAGTATGTGTCTTCACTACCTCTTTTATCTCCTTCATTCCGTTCCTTCCTTCCTTCCCTCTTTTTCCTTCCTTTCCTTCTCTTTCCTTCCTTCTTCCCTTTCTTTCTTTCCTTTCCTCTTTCCTTCCTTCCTTAACTCTTTGCTTCCATCCTTCCTTCTCTTTTTCCCTCCCTCTTTCTCTCCTACCTCCCTCTCTCCCTTCCTTCCTTTCTCCCCTTCCCTCCCTCCCTCTTCCTTCTCTTTTTTCTGTATTGTCATTTAGCTTTTCATTATTTAAAGATAGAGCCGCTACCGAAGCAGAAACAACTGTCTGAAGTCAGTTAAATGGATGATAAGAAGCAAGTTGGCCAGCAAATTGCACTGATAGAGCTGAAGTTTGCCCATGCCTGTTATAGTAGCAAGATGTGTGCAAAAATATGTGCATAAATAGGGAGGCTTTTACAATCTAGAAAACTGGATTGTAAAAGCTCCGGAACGGACAGAAATGGTCACATTCCCTTGTTTGATAAGGGAGGAGTGAAATGACAACTTTTCAAAGGAATGGGAGTAATTTGTGGCATTTATGAGGAAAATAAATAAAAATGTGAAAACAAGGTGACTTTTGCATGGGAAGTTGGAAGGTTGGGGCAGAAAGGTGGGGACTCACCTGGCAGAAAAGCTGGTGGTTGTCTTCAGAGACCAAGAGGAGGCAGCAAGACGGAGACCGGGTTTCCTGCTTGAGCTGCAAAGAAAGGACATGGTTACATTGAGGAGATACAAAAAGAGAGTCAATTTGGACAGTTCTGGGCTTGGACACACTTTGGTTTCCTCCCTCCGTTGAGGTTTAACCTTATCCAGAAAACAGCAAGATGGAGGGCTTGTGTTCAAATGTTTCGGCAGAGCGAACGCTATGGTTGGGGAAAAACAATAAATCAGGATGGTCCTCAATCTTTATCCAATCCATTTGCAAGCAACATGTTATGAAATCCTGAGTTTAAGGCAGTGTTTCTCAACCTGGGGGTCGGGATCCCTGGGGAGGTTGCAAGCGGGAGTTAGAGGGCTTGCCAAAGACCATCAGAAAACACAGTATTTTCTGTTGGTTATGGGAGTTCTGTCTGGGAAGTTTGATCCAATTCTATCATTGGTGGGCTTCAGAATGCTCTTTGATTGTAGATGAACTATACATCCCAGCAACTACAACTCCCAAATGTAAAGGTCTATTTTCCCCAAACTCCACCAGTGTTCACATTTGGGCATATTGAGTAGAGTTTGGTCCAGATCTGTCATTGTTTGAGTCCACAGTGATCTCTGGATGTAGGTGAACTACAACTCCAAAACCAAAGGACACTGCCCACCAAACCCTTCCAGTATTTTCTGTTGGTCATGGGAGTTCTGTGTGCCAAGTTTGGTTCAGTTTCACCATTGGTGGGGTTCAGAATGCTCTTTGATTATAGGTGAACTATAAATCCCAGCATCTACAACTCCCAAATGACAAAATCAATTTTTTGAGTGGAGGACATACATTGGGTTGTTAGGTGTCTTGTGTCCAAATTTGGTGTCAATTCATCCAGTGGTTTTTGAGTTCTGTTAATCCCACAAACGAGCATTACATTTTTATTTATATAGATTAAATAGTTTACTGCTCTCTGTTTTTAAGTCATTTATGAGTTAAAAGTCTTTTCCTGGCAAAGTTTATTCAGATGGCTCTCCACATTTGTCCTGTGAGGTCCTTCCACACAACTTAAAATCCCACACTGAACTGGATTATATGGCAGTGTGGACTCAGATAATCCAGTTCAAAGAAGATACTGTGGATTATCTGCTTTGATATTCTGAGGCCCCTTCCATACAGCTCCGTAAAATCCCATATTATCTGCTTTGAACTGGGTTATATGAATCATAGAATCATAGAATCAAAGAGTTGGAAGAGACCTCCTGTCCAACCCCATTCTGTCAAGAAGCAGGAATATTGCATCACAAAGCACCCCTGACAGATGGCCATCCAGCCTCTGTTTAAAAACTTCCAAAGAAGGAGCCTCCGCCACACTCCAGGGCAGAGAGTTCCACTGCTGAACAGCTCTCACAGTCAGGAAGTTCTTCCTCATGTTCAGAGAGAATCTCCTTTCTTGTAGTTTGAAGCCATTGTTCCATTGCGTCCTATAGAATCATAGAATCAAAGAGTTGGAAGGGACCTCCTGGGCCATCCAGTCCAACCCCATTCTGCCAAGAAGCAGGAATATTGCATTCAAATCACCCCTGACAGATGGCCATCCAGCCTCTGTTTAAAAGCTTCCAAAGAAGGAGCCTCCACCACACTCCGGGGCAGAGAGTTCCACTGCTGAACGGCTCTCACAGTCAGGAAGTTCTTCCTCAGGTTCAGATGGAATCTCCTTTCTTGTAGTTTGAAGCCATTGTTCCATTGCGTCCTAGTCTCCAGGGAAGCAGAAAGGAAGCTTGCTCCCTCCTCCTCCCTGTGGCTTCCTCTCACATATTTATACATGGCTATCATATCTCCTCTCAGCCTTCTCTTCTTCAGGCTAAACATGCCCAGCTCCTTAAGCCGCTCCTCATAGGGCTTGTTCTCCAGACCCTTGATCATTATAGTCACCCTCCTCTGGACACATTCCAGCTTGTCAATATCTCTCTTGAATTGTGGTGCCCAGAATTGGACACAATATTCCAATAAGTTGATCGAAAGGTAGCAGGTTTGATTCCGGGGAGCGGCGTGAGCTTCTGCTGACAGCCCCACCTTCTGCCAACCTAGCAGTTCAAAAACATGCAAATGTGGGTAAATCAATAGGTACCACTCCAGTGGGAAGGTAACAGCGCTCCATGCAATCACGCCAGCCACATGACCTTGGAGGTGTCTACGGACAACGCCGACTCTTCAGCTTAGAAATGGAGATGAGCACCAGAGTCCCAGAGTCGGACACGACTAGACTTCATGTCAGGGGAAAACCTTTGCCTTTATCTATATGACAATATGGACTCAGATAACCCAGTTCAAAGCAGATATTGTGGGATTTCCTGTCTTGATATCCTGGGTTATGTGGCTGCGTGAAAGGGTCCTAAGAGAGTGTGACTTATCAAAGGTTCATCCAGTGATTTTCCATAACAGAGCAAGGATTGGACCCTGGTTTCCAGAGCCATAGTCCAGTTCCCAAACCCTTCTACACAGCCCTATACCCCAAAATATCAAGGCAGGAAACCCCCCAATATCTGCTTTGGACTGGGTTATCTGAGTCCACGCTCACATAACGTGGGATTTTCTGCCTTGATATTCTGGGATATAAGGCTGTGTGGAAGGGCCCTAGGTCACTAAACATGCATTTACTAATAGAATCAACACAGTTTGAGATCAAATTAACTGTTATGGCTCAAGGCTGTGCAATGCTTTCCTTGCCTCCAATTTCACCCTAATTCTGGGTTTCCCAAGAAGCTACATAGACCCAAATTATGCAGATTGGGCCAGTTTCCAGCCATTAAGTTGCCGTTCCTGATTTTGGAGTGCAGAATTTTAGACAGCAGGGAACAGGATTGAAACTGGCCTCCCAACTGTGGATGATCAGGTCTTTTGACCAAATTATCCCTTCACAGCTGGAGAGGGAGAATGAGGAGGGCGCTGGTCCAGAACCCCCTGCCCTGGAACAACCGTCACCGATTTGGTGACATCAGTGTGCCTTTTGTGTCATTCGTTTCTCATTCTGTTCAAAAGCGACAGAGGCGCTCAGCTCTCTTTTGCTTGAGTAGGTCTCTGATGTTCTTCCAAAGAAGGCTCCAAAACTTCTGGGGCATCTACACTGTTGAATTGGTACAGTTGGGCATCACTTTGGTCTCTTCCCCCACTAGATAGATAGATAGATGGATGGATGGATGGATGGATAGATGATAGAGAGAGAGAGAGAGAGAGATGCATGCATGCATGCATGCATGCATGTATGGATGGATGGATGGATGGATGGATGGATGGATGGATGGATGGGATAGATAGATAGATAGATAGATAGATAGATAGATAGATAGATAGACAGATAGATAGATAGATTGATTTAGGACTATCTCTTAAATAATTTCAAAGCCTTCTGTTATCTATATATCTATCCATCTATAGTATGGATAGATGGATGGTGGGTGGATGGATGGATAGATAGATTGAAAGATAAGACTAGATGAATAGATATAGATCAATGGATGGGTGGATAGATAGATTCATGGATGAAGAGATAGATAGATAGCATCTAATTTCAAGAGATGGTGATACATTTCAGAGCTGTTTGATATTTTACATGTGTAACTGTTTTTCCTTATAATATTAATAAATGTTTTATATTCAAAACAAAAAAAAGAGATAGATAGATAGATAGATAGATAGATAGATAGGACTATCTCCTAAATAATTTCAAAGCCTCCTGTCATCCATGCATGTATCCATCTATAGTACCGATAGATAGATAGATAGATAGATAGATAGATAGATAGATAGATAGATAGATAGATAGATGGCTGGATAGATAGATAGATAGATAGATAGATAGATAGATAGATAGATGGCTGGATAGATAGATAGATAGATAGACAGACAGACAGACAGATAGATAGATGGCTGGATAAATAGATAGATAGACAGATAGATAGATAGATAGATAGATAGATAGATAGATGGCTGGATAGATAGATAGATAGATAGATAGATAGATAGATAGATAGATAGATAGATAAGACTAGATGAACAGATATAGATCAATGGATGGATGGGTAGATAGTAGGGCTGGGCGGTTTCGTTTCCTAATTTCGTAATTCGTTAAAAATTCGTTATTTTTTTTATAACGAAGCAATAACGAAACATTCAGGAGCATCTAAAAAACGAAACGAATTTTTAAATTCATTTCGTAATTGCTTCGAATTCGTTTTGTATTCGTTTCGTTATTGTTTTGAAATTGTTTCGTTATTATTTCCGCATGTCTGGGGCAAGTTTTATAGTTGTTGTTTGTTTAATCAGTGAAAAAAAATTATAAATATCACACCAACAGTCAACAACAGAGGGAGAGGGAAGCTTCAGAAGTTCCCCTTGTCCCATTTGGAGGCTTTTTAGCGTATTGCGCGGTCGCGTCCGCCATTAACGAATCGATTCGTAATTGTTTCGTAATTGTTTTGTAATTTTACGAAATTTCATAAATATCGAACTTTTTTACAGAAAAAATTCGGAATTCTTTTAAAAATCGAAACACAAAACCCCCCAAAAAACGAATCGATTTTAGAAACAAATTTTTCCGTTGTTACCCAGGCCTAATGGATAGATAAGACTAGATGAATAGATATAGATCAATGGGTGGGTGGGTAGATAGATAGATAGATAGATAGATGCACGGATGAAGAGATAGATAGATGCCTGTGCGTATGCTCAGTGTTGTTTTGAATTTGTGAGTTTGTTTTGGTGTGTATTTGAATTTTGATGAGTGTTGGTCATACCTTGGGGTATGAGGCATTAGAAGGCCAAATTTGGTGATATTTGGTCCTGTAGTTTTTCCGTTTTTGAACCACTAACGACGACGTTAACCTTTATATATATATAGATTGCATCCAATTTCCTAAGATTGGGGCCAGCTGTTGATAAACCGTCCTCTTGTTGACATTATGATTGCAACCAGGTTTTACACAACCTTAATTGGTAAATATATATATATATATATATATATATATATGAAAGGAAACAGAGCAAAGGGTTTGGAAGGGCTAGCAAAGAAAGTATGCAATTTCTCAGGCTCGTTTTTGCACCTTCCACTTAGCCCTCGTCCAAGCAAATTGAATTGGATGGCTTGCTCCAGAGTCCCTTCTGATCCCAGCGAGATTTTTTAATTTCCTTGTTTTAGCTCGTCACGCTCTTTCGCATATTGTGGTCTGTTTAAATGATCTTCACAGTTTAATGGTTTACATTTTCAAAGAGGCACTCAGCTGCAACATGTTGCTCTGAGATCCTGGAATGCATGCTAAGAATACAAATGAAGGTTGGGTCTCCTATCTATCTATCTATCTATCTATCTATCTATCTATCTATCTATCTATCTACGAGAGGCATTCATGAAAGATGTCCCCTGACCCCCTTGGTATGGATTCCTGGGAGTTGTAGTTGGGAGCCATATTACAAACCACAACTCCCAGCAGACCATAGCATGGATCCATGGCAGTTGAGTCAAACTGCATTCCTTTTACAGTGTTGTCCAGACATGGGCAAACTTTGGCCCTCCTTCCAGGTATTTTAGACTTCAGCTCCCATAATTCCTAACAGCTTAGGAATTGAAGTCCAAAACGCCTGAAGGGTTAAAGTTTGCCCATGCCTGGCATATATTGAGAGGATGGGGAGAAATGTCAGGAGAGAATGCTACTGGAGCGTGGCCATGCAACTTTGAAAAATTCATAACAACCCAGCCAGTGGGCTGTTAAGAATTGTGGGAGTTGAAGTCCAAAACGCCTGGAGGGCCGAAGTTTGCCCATGCCTGGTGTAAACTAAAGTTTGGACTAAAAACCGGAGTGGATCCATCAACCTGTTGGCATGCAGAACACTGAGATAATGGTTTGGGAGAGGAGTTGGGAGGTTTAACAAAACATTCCAACCCCAAGGCATCTTCCCTATTATGTGTCGTTATATTCAACCTCCTTCCTGTTTGGGAAAAGTAGGAAAAACTTTGCAACTCAGTTGAGTTGGAAAGATTTCTATGTTTTTAATGGTTTTTGTATTGTATTGATTTTATATTGATTTTATAATGCTGTTTTAATTGTATGTTGTGGATTGTTATGGCATCGAAGCGCTGTCAGTTTGTAAGCCACCTTGAGTCGCTTTCGGGCTTGAGAAAAGTGAGTTAGAAATATCACAAATAAATAAATAACGAACTGACAATTTGCATAATTGTCATCCGGAGTTTCGGGGTGCGGTGTTATCTGTACGCAGATGACGTCCAACTCTGTCACTCCTTCCCACCTACTACTAAGGAGGCTGTTCAGGTCCTGAACCGTGCTTGGCCGCTGTGTCGGACTGGATGAGGGCTAACAAATTGAAATTGAATCCAGATAAGACAGAGGCACTCCTGGTCAGTCGTAAGACCGAACAGGGCATAGGGTTACAGCCTGTGTTAGACGGGGTTACACTCCCCCTGAAGACGCAGGTTCGCAGCTTGGGTGTGATCCTGGACTCTTCGCTAAGCTTGGAACCCCAAGTTTCGGCGGTGTCCAGGGGAGCATTTGCACAATTAAAACTTGTGCGCCAGTTGCGCCCGTACCTTGGGAAGTCGGACTTGGCCACGGTAGTCCACGCTCTGGTTACATCCCGGATTGATTACTGCAACATGCTCTACGTGGGGTTGCCCTTGAAGACTGCCCGGAAGCTTCAGATGGTCCAGCGCTCGGCAGCCAGGTTGCTAACGGGAGCGGCACTCAGGGAGCACACCACTCCTCTGCTGAGCCAGCTCCACTGGCTGCCAATCTGCTACCGGGCACAATTCAAGGTGCTGGCTTTAGCCTATAAAGCCCTAAACGGTTCTGGCCCTGCTTACCTCTCTGAACGCATCTCCACCTATGAACCGACGAGGATGTTAAGATCGTCCGGGGAGGCCCTGCTCTCGGTCCCGCCTGCGTCGCAGGCGCGGCTGGCGGGGACGAGAGACAGGGCCTTCTCGGTGGTGGCCCCTCGGCTATGGAATGCCCTACCCGTAGACATCAGGCAGGCCCCTTCGTTGCTGGAGTTCCGGAGGAAGGTCAAGACGTGGCTCTATGAACAGGCGTTCGGTCAACAAGGCAACTGAACTCATGAAGACGGTATAAATGAACAAAGGAATGGTAGAAGGATTATGAGAACGGAATCTGATTTTACTGAGGCGTTGATGACCACATTGTTTTGTCTTGTATTGTCTGTCGTGTATGTTGTGTTTTAACTAATTGTGATTGTTATATAAATTGTATTGTAAACCGCATTGAGTCGCCGATTTAGGCTGAATGAAAAACGCGGTATAAAAATAAAGCAAATAAAATAAAATAAAAATAATAATTAATTGTGGCTTTGCATACTCACATAATTAAGGACTTTGAGCTGGAGGGAAGCCGCATCCAAGTCATAGAGCTCCCCTGCAGAAACAACAAAGCAGCAGGTGACCATTCAATACACGCAGTCCCCAAGTCACATACAAACAACATCACTTCTGTAGGTTTGTAAGTTGAATCTGTACATTTTTCAAGAGTAACTCCAGCCAAATGTATATGTCACATAGAAGGCTTTCATGGCCAAAATCACTGGGTTGTTGCAGGTTTTGGGGGGCTATAGGTGCTAGGTGTGAATGTTTCAACTGACAAACAAAGACATCTAATCAACTCTCAACAAAAGATTGCCCCAGGCACTGCCAGGCCATCAAATCCTAATCAAGGTGGTCAGCTGAAACATTCCCACCCAGCTCCAACAGGCAAGAGTTCTTTGTCCCACCCTGGTCATTCCACAGGCTATATGGCCATGTTCTAGAGGCATTCACCGCTTTGAGTCGCCTGAGGGCTGAGAAAAGCGCTACTTTATAGAAATAAAGTAAATAATTCTCTCCTGACGTTTCGCCTGCATCTATGGCAAGCATCCTCAGAGGTAGTGAGGTCTGTTGGAACTAGGAAAAGGGGTTTATATATCTGTGGAATGACCCGGGTGGGACAAAGGACTCTTGTCTGCTGGAGCTAGGTGTGAATGTTTCAACTGACCACCTTGATTAGCATTTGATGGCCTGGCAGTTTTTTGGTGTGGCTTGTTAGTGCCTGGGGCAATCTTTTGTTGAGAGGTGATTAGATGTTCCTGATTGTTTCCTCTCTGTTGTGCTGTTGTAATTTTAGAGTTTTTTTAATACTGGTAGCCAGATTTTGTTCATTTTCATGGTTTCTCCTTTCTGTTGAAATTGTCCACATGCTTGTGGATTTCAATGGCTTCTCTGTATAGTTGCTAATCAAGGTGGTCAGTTGAAACATTCACACCTAGCTCCAGCAGACAAGAGTCCTTTGTCCCACCCTGGTCATTCCACAGATATAATAAACCCTTTTTCCTAGTTCCAACAGACCTCACTACCTCTGAGGATGCTTGCCATAGATGCAGGCGAAACATCAGGAGAGAATGCCTCTAGAACATGGCCATATAGCCTGAAAAAAACCTACAACAACCCACAATTTCCATTGTTACAAGGCTCCTTTGATGAGAATCAATAGCCTAGATAAGGGATGGGAAATACCTCTCAGCAGGTGGATCTATCTACATTGCCATAGAACACTATTTAACATGGTTGTTGTTCCTGGGTTATCAATGTTATTTCCTAATTGGTTCTATCACAAAAACATGGGGAAAGTTGATTAAACTGTAAAATCTTTGTCTTTGCAGGAGAGACATCATCCTGCTCTAGCACCTTTTGCTATTCCTTTTCAATTAGTATCTCAGCCAATTCAACTTATTCTGCCACAAAACAAAGTTTCTGGAGTAGAACAACTACTTTCAAAGTAAAGACTACACAATGAAACAGGAAATAACACTTTCAAACCAGGAACAGAAAATTCTGTAAATTTTGTTACATAGTGTAATGCAATTTAACTGCACTGATTTGCATTATATGGGTCTGCACTGGCTATACAACACAGTTTATAACTGCATGCTATGTCAGTGCAGATCGAGCCTAAATCTCACAACAGCAGCAGAGGATTCCTTACCGCACAACTGGAGGATCTTCCGGTCCTGGTCATTATAGCTGTCCTTGGGGGCCTCTCCGGTCTTCTCCGGCAAGTTCTGTGATGGGGAGGTGGACACATGGTTGACCTGTGGCAGCTTCTGGAGGGCTTGGATGCGCTTGTAGGACACCAGGATCTGTGCATGGGTAAAAGGCATGGTTTTAGGAACATACCACTTAATAGCCAACCTTGCAGAGAAGAAAAGGGTTGATAACTGAGCCATCTTTCCCAGGAGACCTTGGGACAGCACTGCCCCATGCTCACATCATTGGATTGCCATAACTTGATAACAGGCACTGATATAACATGGGTCATGCATGGTGTGAGCTAGAGCTCTTATCAAAAGATTGAGGATGCTGAAAAAATATAAAATTGGAAGGGTGCCCAGGGGTCATCTAGTCTGACCAGAGGAGGATTTTGCATCAATAGAGATCTTCTGGTTGAGTCCAAACTTTGGATCCCTCGATTTCTTCTTCTTCATCATCATCATCATTCATCATCATTTAATAACTTATTAATCGCCCTCCATCCGAGAATGCTCCAGGCGATTTACAGCTAAATTATAAAAGATACAATACATACATACAGAAATTAAAAAATCAACAGAGATCGAATGCTCTAGTGAAAAGCCAGGTCTTAAGTTGAGCGGACCCTCTGGACTAAAGGTGGTGCTGTTGAACGCCAGATCTGTCAACGGAAAAACGACCTGGATCCAGGACCTAATCCTGGACGAGCGGGCAGATCTGGCGTGCATCACGGAGACCTGGCTGGATGAAGCTGGAGGAGTAAATCTGACCCAGCTTTGTCCTCCAGGCTTCTCCGTGCAGCACCAACCGAGATCCGGAGGTCGGGGAGGCGGGGTCGCAGTGGTCTATAGAGATTCCATCCATCTGACCAGGTGCCCCATCCCGCAGACCACAAATTTTGAATGCGTCTACCTGAGGGTGGGTGACCGGGACAGAATAGGGATTCTGTAGTGTACCGTCCACCTCGCTGCACTACAGTCTCCCTACCTGAGCTAGCGGGGGTGGTCTCGAGCCTGGCGTTGAAGTCTCAACGGCTTCTTGTGCTGGGAGACTTCAACATCCATGCCGAGACGACCCTCACAGGCGCGGCTCAGGACTTCATGTCTGCCATGGCAACCATGGGGCTGTCCCAACAAATATCTGGCCCCACCCACTGTGCTGGACACACATTGGATTTGGTTTTCTGTCAGGGATGGGAACAGGGTGGCGGTGTGGAGGAGTTGTCCATCTCTCCGTTGCCATGGACCGACCACTTCCTGATCAGATTTAGACTCACTGCGCCCCCTAACCTCTGCAAAGGTGGAGGACCCATTAAGATGGTCCGCCCCAGGAGGCTTATGGATCCGAATGGTTTCCTGACGGCTCTTGGGGATTTTCCCGCCACCTCGGTAGGTGACCATGTCGAAGCCTTGGTCGCTCTCTGGAATGGGGAGATGACCAGGGCTATTGACATGATTGCTCCGGAACGTCCCCTCTCAAGTAGCCGAGCTAAACCAGCCCCTTGGTTTACTGAGGAGCTGGCAGTGATGAAGCGAAGGAAGAGGGAACTAGAGAGCGTGTGGCGTTCGGAACCGAGCGAGTCAAATCGAGCACGGTTTGTGTCCTTTCTTAGGGCATATGCCGCGGCAATAAAGACCGCAAAGAAAACTTTCTTTGCGGCCACTATTGCGTCTGCAAAGAACCGTCCGGCGGAGTTGTTTCGGATTGTCAGAGGTCTTTTAACTCCCACCACTGCAGGTGGGAGCCCTGACAATTCGGTCGCGCGCTGTGAAGCATTTGCTCGGTACTTCGCAGACAAAGTCGCCTTGATCCGTTCTGGGCTGGACGCCACGTTAGATGCAGACTCCGAGAATGTAACGAGAGCACCTGCTTGTCCTATTTTGTTGGATTCTTTTCAGTTTGTGAAACCCGAGGATGTGGACAAGATACTTGGAGGAATGAGGCCCACCACGTCCATCCTAGACCCCTGCCCATCCTGGCTTCTGAGAGAGGCCAGAGGGGGGTTGGCTGAGTGGGTAACAGTGGTGGTGAATGCCTCCCTTCGGGAAGGCAAGATTCCAGCGAGCCTAAAACAGGCTATTATAAAGCCGCTGTTGAAGAAGCCATCACTGGACCCCACTAAATTGGACAACTTTCGGCCTGTTTCCAATCTCCCCTTTTTGGGCAAAGTCATGGAAAGCGTGGTGGCCTCACAACTCCAGGTATTCTTGAGAGACACGGATTATCTGGATTCGGCACAGTCTGGTTTCAGACCGGGGCATGGTACCGAGACGGTCTTGGTCGCCTTAGTGGATGATCTGCGCCGGGAGCTAGACAGGGGGAGTGTGTCCCTGTTGGTGCTCCTGGACCTCTCAGCGGCTTTCGATACCGTCGACCACGGTATCCTTCTGGGGCGCCTTGCGGAAATGGGTCTTGGGGGCATTGCTTTGCAGTGGCTCCGGTCATTTCTGGAGGGTCGCACTCAGAAGGTGTTATTGGGGGACTCCTGTTCCGCTCCACAACCTTTGACTTGTGGGGTGCCACAGGGTTCCATACTGTCCCCCATGCTGTTTAATATCTACATGAAGCCGCTGGGTGAGATCATCCGGAGTTTCGGGGTGCGGTGTCATCTGTACGCAGATGATGTCCAACTCTGTCACTCCTTTCCACCTGCTACTAAGGAGGCTGTCGAAGTCCTGAACCGGTGCCTGGCCGCTGTAACGGTCTGGATGAGGGCGAACAAACTGAAACTAAATCCAGACAAGACAGAGGTACTCCTGGTCAGTCGCAAGGCCGAACGGGATATAGGGTTACAGCCTGTGCTGGATGGGGTCGCACTCCCCTTGAAGGCGCAGGTTCGCAGCTTGGGTGTGACCCTGGATTCATCGTTGAGCCTGGATCCCCAGGTTTCAGCGGTGACCAGGGGAGCATTTGCACAGCTCCGGCTCGTGCGCCAGCTGCGCCCGTATCTCGGGAAGTCTGACTTGGCCACGGTGGTACACGCTCTGGTCACATCCCGGCTTGACTACTGCAACGCTCTCTACGTGGGGCTGCCCTTGAAGACGGCCCGGAAGCTTCAGCTGGTTCAGCGTGCGGCAGCCATGTTACTAACTGGAGCGGGATACAGGGAGCACACAACGCCCTTGTTGTCCCAGCTCCACTGGCTGCCGATTTGCTACCGGGCCCAATTTAAGGTGCTGGTGTTGGCCTACAAAGCCCTAAACGGCTCCGGCCCAAAATACCTTTCTGACCGCATCTTGGCCTATGAGCCCACGAGGACCTTGAGATCGTCTGGGGAGGCCCTTCTCTCGATCCCGCCTGCCTCACAGGCACGTCTGGCGGGGACGAGGGAGAGGGCCTTCTCGGTGGTGGCCCCCCGGCTGTGGAACACCCTCCCGACATACATCAGACAGGCGCCCTCTCTCATGTCCTTTCGGAAGAGCCTTAAGACCTGGCTGTTTGAAAGGGCATTTAATTAAGTGCTAAGCAGCAAATAGGACGGTAATGAGAACTGGAATGGTACAGGGATGATGAGACTGGCTATGATTCCACTAAGAGACGAAGCGGATTTTTGTGTAGTTTGTAGTGTTGTATAGTTATATGTTTTGATACTGGCTTTGTAATTTGTCTTTTATGTGTACTGTACACCGCCATGAGTCGCCCGTAAGGGCTGAGAATGGCGGTTAATAAGTGCATTAAATAAATAAATAAATAAATAAATAAATACCCAATATGCCCAAATCTGAATACTGGTGGTCTCATGTAGGGCGGCAAGGAATTCCACAAGGGAGGGGCAGAAATAGAAAAAGCCCTGCGTCTGGTCCTTTCCAAGTGCACTTCTCTAGGACCCGGTATATGGAGTAAGTCACGTTGGGCTGGTCGTTGCGACCTCCGATGATGGGAGAAGGAGAGGCGGTCCCTAAGGTACGATGGACCCTGGCCGTAAAGAGTTTTAAAGGTCAGAACTAGCATCTTATACAGGCCACGGTACTCAGTTGGAAGCCAATGTAAATGTTGCAGCACTGGTGTTATATGGCATTTCATGGGCGTTCTTGTGAGTAGCCTGGCTGCCACATTCTGAACAATACGAAGCTTTCGGGTCGTAGACATCGGAAGGCCCACATACAGGGCGTTGCAATAGTCCAGCCTAGACGTGATCGTGGCATGGATGACAGTTACCAGAGCCTCGTCAGATAGGTAGGGTGCCAGTTGCCTCGCTTGTCGTAGATGGAAAAAAGCCTGTTTGCTGGCAGCAGCGACCTGAGCTTCCATTGTCATCGCTTGTCGTAGATGGAAAAAGGCCTGTTTGCTGGCAGCAGCCAACTGAGCTTCCATTGTCAGCTGTGAATCCAGGATGACACCTAAGTTCTTAACAGTGGTCGATGGAGAGAGGGCGGCACCATCGAAGGTGGGTAATGGAGGAGTCAGACCTGCCGGGCGGCCATGCCAGAGAATCTCAGTCTTCGCCGGGTTCACCTTCAGTCTGCTAGCATGTAGCCAGTTTGACAGAGCTTCCAGACATAGGGTGAAATTGTCTGGAATTGACGTTGCTCCAGCCAGTTTGACAGAGCGTGTTCCCCAGGACCCACATGCACCAGGTCCCCTTCACCACTGAGCGTGTTGCCTCACTACAGACGTCGAAAGGCGCTCGTGGACTAGGACGTCGGCTAAATGGAAGACACAAGAAGACAGGACAGCCAAGGCACGGTTGAGGGCAGCAGAGGGCAAGAGGACGGTGAGTCACAAGGACATAGCCGGCAGAAACGATCGGAAGCCAAAAGAGCCAGATCCGGGTGGATAACGGCCACAGAGGGGGGAAGACGCAGGTAATGAGGATCTCTTACGACTTGAGAATGGAACACGTGGGGGACGCCCAAATAGCCCTCCCGCACCGGGCGCTACGCACTTCTTATATCGGAGACGGGATTACAATCGGATCCCTGCCCACCTCCCGCCCCCCCCCGTCCCCCCCCTCGGTCTTTACCCCCCTCCCTGCTACCCCCCCCAGCTTGCTTCTCCCCGTCCCAGGTGAATCGACTTCAGGTTCCCCACGCCCCCCGGCTCTCCCCCCCCCGTCGTCTGGCACCCACTTTCCCCTTCTCCTCCAGGACCCGATTGTCGGGAATACAATTTGAAACCCTCTGCGGCCTTTCCCTCCCTATTCCTGCTAACCACCCCTCTTCCCTGACAACCAGGAAAGCCCAGCCGGAGAGTCGCTCAGTTCTTTAGGGCCAAGAAGCTTGCTCCGGGGAGCATCAGCGAGATGTGCCAGTCAGACCACGCGGTGTCAAAACGCCCCTGAAGCTTAGCTGGTCGGTTTTGCTAAGGTCCCTTCCCCCCCCTGTCCCTCTTTCCTACTTCGCACCTTCGCACCCTTGACGCTCCCCATTTCCGCATTCGTTTCCTTCCAAGAGAGTACCTATCTTAGCCCTTTCTAGCACCCGTTCGGATCCACCCTTGGTTGTGCAGAGTACTGGCCGATTGTGGCAGGTAATGCCGAGTAAATGGTAAACTCACGGGACCGGTGTTCTCATCCCATGTACACATTCCGAACAACGGCCAGTCTGATGCCGAAAAGACGGATTGGAAAAGGGGACAGGCCAGATGGTCGGCAGCCAAGGAATGCGGCAATTGTCAAAGTGCCTACGTAATTCGTGTGACAGGCTGTCCTCCTATTGAGGGAGTCGTTAATGACCCCAGAGAAGAGGCGATAGCTATTTGGTGAGCTCAAGATAACAGTGGGCCCCCAAGACCCTAGTCTCAAGCAAAACAACTGAGTTGGCCAGTGCAGTCCCGTGCCAGTGTAAGAGCGATTGTCAAAAAGGTGGATAGAGGAGATTTCCGCCGAGGAGGGAGTCGACTTCTATTGGACTCTGAGGTATGTAAGAAGAGTGATGGGCGTGGGCCAGTATTGCGCTGCCTCCAGTACCAGAGGGTTGAGTGGTCTTCCAAAACTGGATGCGGGGCTAGGATTAATGGGAAAAAACAATCTTCCACAGATCGAATAAACTGCTTGGGTGAGCCGGCAATAAATTTGGGGCATTGGCTTCGACGTTGGGTCCTCTCTGTAGCGCAGGTTGAAAGCACCTTGGAGAGCTCCGAAGAGTCCATAGGGACGAAGACCCCTCAGGCACACCACGAGGGCGGAAAATGAGCTACCTACTAGGGCATGTCTGTGACGTTCCCCTCTGAGCTAACAATACGGTTTTCAAAACCTACAGTAGAAATGAGGACAATTTGGTTTATAATGCTAATCATAGAGGAATATACGCTTGTGACCACTTAAAATGCAGAGATGAGTGAAAAAATGTTACGTACTGTTACATGATAGCAAATGGGCGAAACCTCAGTGAGCCGGAGGGAAACGGGCGGCGAGCTCCTTCTCCATTACGGTGTAGAGCGAGGGGCTTAGCCCGGGAAAGAAGGGCTACAATGGCCACACTACGAGCACCCCACCAAGTGAAACCTACAATGGTAGATCCATTCACCACTGTTAGCCTATCAAGTTTCAGAAAGTTTCATCTTTCCCAGCGAACTTTGCTTTCTCCCTGCTGCTTCCCTCTCCTAGTTGTGAGAAGCCATTCATTTAAAGAGGAAAGGCAGCCTTTTTGGCTTGGCTTTGCTTCCTTGCGCTGAACATGAAACTGAATTTGGGAAGTTTCCAAGGTTTAGAAAATGCAAACCAAAAGTATTGGATGACTTTTGATCCATAAGTTTTTGGAGCAGGCTACGCCCACCTGTTGGATATCGCATCCTATTGGGACTCACCCTGTGTGTGAACTTGAGCCTGAATCTCTAATTGTGTTGCCTATTGTTGATAATATTGATGTAAACGTTGATGGGCCCAGTTTGGATAGTGAGGCTGAAGTGATCAATGAGGACGAGGCTCAAGATGGAGGCACTTTGGGCAGTAAAAATCCTACAGGCTTTGATTTAGAAGCTCCAAGGGAAAAGCCAAGTTCTCATGAGAAAGTTCCTGTCAGACCGAGGGAAAAAAATTAACTCCCTTCTCCTTCTGACCTGAACTTGCAAGATAACTTGCACCTGGTCAGGTCAATGATAACAGCCGCAGTTTAATGTGGCCAAAGTATTTCATCTTTGACTCTAGTATCCTTCCCTCCAGTGAGCAACTGGGGTTTATTTCCTGCAGTATGGACTGGCTTGATCTTAATCATAGAATCATAAAGTTGAAAGAGAGTTGAAAGAGAAAGAGACCTCTTGGGCCATCTGCTTCAACCCCCTGCCAAGAAGCAGGACAATTGCATACAAAGCACTCCTGACATCTGCCTCTGTTTAAAAGCCTCCAAAGAAGGAGCCTCCACCATAGTCTGGGGCAGAGAGTTCCACTGCTGAACAGCTCTCACAGTTAGGAGTTCTTCCTCATGTTCAGGTGGAATCTCCTTTCCTGTAGTTTAAAGCCATGTTTCGCGTCCTAGTCTCCAGAGGAGCAGAAAACAAGCTTGCTCCCTCCTCCCTGTGGCTTCCTCTCACATATTTATACATGGCTATCATATTCCTCTCAGCCTTCTCTTCTTCAGGCTAAACATGCCCAGCTCATTAAGCCGCTCCTCATAGGGCTTGTTCTCCAGACCTATCATTTTAGTCGCCCTCCTCTGGACACATTCCAGCTTGTCAATATCTCTCTTGAATTGTGGTGCCCAGAATTGGACACAATATTCCAGATGTGGTCTAACCAAAGCAGAATAGAGGGGTAGCATTACTTCCTTAGATCTAGACACTATGCTCCTATTGATGCAGGCCAAAATCCCATTGGCTTCTTTTGCCGCCACATCACATTCCTGGCTCATGTTTAACTTGTTGTCCACGAGGACTCCAAGATCTTTTTCACACGTACTGCTCTCGAGCAAGGCCTCATTCCCCATTCTGTCTCTTTGCATTTCCTTTTTTCTGCCTAAGTGGAGTATCTTGCATTTGTCCCTGTTGAACTTCATTTTGTTAGTTTTGGCCATCATCTCTCTAATCTGTCAAGATTTGTATTAGGCTTGGGCGATCCAGTTCGTTAATTTCGTAATTTGTTATTAATTCGTATTTAAATTAGCTTACGATCCAATATCGAGCCATGCAGGAATAGTGTGAGGAGTAATTAAGAATCGAAACAATTTTTCCAATTTTTGTAATTATTTTTGTAATTTCATAATTATATTTTATAATATACAATTATAATATAATATATAATATAATAATATATAATAATATAATATAATAATATTATAATAATATAATATACATTATATATTATATTATATTACATTATATTATATTATTATAATACTATTATATTATAGTATTGTATATTATATTATATTATAATTGTATATTATAATATGATATAGGTAATATATTATAATATAATGTAATATAATATAATATAATATGCAATTATAATATTAGACATCTCATTTTGACTTAATCTTCTGCTATGGGCTTGGGACAGTTTTTTGATAATATAATATAATATATATAGTTGTTAGTTTTATCACACCAACAGTCAACAACAGAGGGAGAGGGAAGCTTCAGAAGTTCCCCCTGTCCCATTTGGAGGATTTTTTAGCATATTGCGCAATCACGTCTGCCATTAACGAATCGATTCGTAATTTTACGAAATTTCGTATATTTCGAAATTTTTAAAAGGAAAATTTCAGAATTCTTTAAAAAATGAAACGCAAGGGCCCCCTAAAAACAAAACGAGTTTAGAACCAAATTTTTCCGTGGTTACCCAAGCCTATAAGATAATCTTGGCCTAAGATTCAGAACAGACAGGAAAGGAAAGCTAGGAGCCCTTGGCTTTACTCACATGTTTCTCCAAGGCTCGCAGGTTCTGCTCATCGGATTCGCTGAGGTGGCCACACTGCACCTGGGAAGACAAGGATGAGGGGTGAGGAGCCTTCTTAGACCACAAGCAGAATGTGAGTCAAGAATGTCATGCGGCAACTAGAAAAGTCAATGCGAAGATACGCTGCATTGATAGGAGGATAGTGTTGACATTGAGGGAAGTCATGGAATCACTCTATTTTGCTTTGGATATGGACAAGTTGGTCACACTTTTAAAATGTACCTGTTCCAACTTACATACTAATTTAACTTAAGAACAAACAGAACCTCCCTTGTTTGTAATTTGGGGACTGCCTGTAACTTCCTGGCAACGAGATCATTCCAAAAGTGGGATCTGCTGCTCCTGCTTTTTCTGTGCTGGAAGGACTGCTATTTGAGCAAAAGAGATGCACACATTTGCAAGAATTGAGTCCCAGAGTGTGGAAATTTGTTTCCATTCCCAATGCTCACTATTGGGGGTTTCTGGCCCTTTAAAAATAATCTTGATTATTTGAGACTATTCTTTCAGTTTGTTTACTAGCCATTCCAGTATTTTCCTGCTTTGTCCCATGTGTTTTTAACTGTTTCAGAAGCCATTTTGGGTCCCACTTTGAGATAAAATTGCAGCACGCACACACACACAGACACACACAGAGACATAAATCAAGCAGGCTTCCTTTTTTACAGCTTAGGTGATCACTCGTAGTCCAAGGATGATGGTCCTCCAAGTGTAGTATCCTGGTGGTGGGTCCGTAGGTGACTATGGAGCCCTCTTCTTGATCTGCATCTTCTCCCACAGTTGAGGGCATTGATTTCCGGTCGGGGTTGTCTTGACATGCCTTCCTCTTGGCATGTTTCTCTCTTTTGCCCTCCATTCGTGCCTCTTCAAATTGCAGCACTGCTGGTCACAGCTGACCTCCAGGTAGAGCGCTCAAGGGCCAGGGCTTCCCAGTTCTCAGTGTCTATGCAAGAGTTTTTAAGGTTGGCTTTGAGCCCATCTTTAAATCTCTTTTCCTGTCCTCCAACATTCCGTTTTCCGTTCTTGAGTTCGGAGTAGAGCAACTGCTTTGGGAGATGGTGGTCGGGCATCCGGACAACGTGGCCGGTCCAGCGGAGTTGATGGCGGAGGACCATCGCTTCAATGCTGGTGGTCTTTGCTTCTTCCAGCACGCTGACATTTGTCTGCTTGTCTTCCCAAGAGATTTGCAGAATTTTCCGGAGGCAGCGCTGATGGAATCATTCCAGGAGTTGCATGTGACATCTGTAGACAGTCCACGTCTCTCAGGCGTATAGCAGGGTTGGGAGGACAATAGCTTTATAGGCAAGCCTCTTGGTCTCCCTACGGATGTCCTGGTCCTCAAACACTCTCTGCTTCATTTGGAAGAATGCTGCACTCGCAGAGCTCAGGCGGTGTTGTACTCAATTGCATAAATAATTTGTAACTGTGATGGCGCGAGTGGCGCCACCTATGTATAGAACTGTTAGTTGTAAGACTTAAACTGTTGTATCATGCTTAATCCTGCCCCTTTTTACACTGTTTATGTATAGTTGTATGGATTGGTTGCTTGTAGCTGTCAATCAGTACTGTTTGGCTCCACCTCTTCCTGCAAGAGGGAGAACTTCCTTTTTCTTTTCATTCTGCCATCAGAGTTCGTACCAGATGGACGTGAGTAAGAGACTTGATTCTAAAGGACCCTGATTTAAGTTACCTCTTAGCACCAGTTCTGAGGTTTTTTACCCCTGGGACTCATGCTTTATGTCCAGATCGTCCTGGACAATTATTGAGGAGACCCAGGCGCCTTCAAGCCGGTTCTTTTGGCACCAAAGGAAGATCCTGAATCTTCAAAACATAGGCCATCTGAACTGGGGTTGTGGTTTGCTCCGGCATTCACAGCCATTGAGGAAAGAGGAAACTTGGTGAGGCTTCTCAGCTTCAAACCCCTTGGACCCAGGGCTAATTGAGACTGTAATGTATGTTTTCCTTCACCCCTCTAAAGTTTTCCAGCTCATTGCTTTGAAGAAATGACTTTGTGATAAATAAAACTTATTTTGAGCTATTTACAGCGTTTTGGGTTTTTGGGAGTTCCAGTTTCCTATAGGGGGGCAAGAAGCAATCCCCTGGGGGAAAGGTACCATGTCCATCCCTCCTTTATTGAGAATAATAGTCCCCAGGTGCGACGGCACAGAGGTGGCTGCCAAGGAAGCGGAAATGGTCCACATTTACTAATGTTACACCATTAAAAGCTGTATTCCTGGCATTGGAGAGGGATTGCAGGCTTTCATCCAGGGAGTGAATGCAGTTTGACACTACTGTAACTGCTATGGCTCAATGCTATGGGAGCTTGGGAGTTGTAGTTTGGTGAGGGACCAGCACTCTTTGGCTGAGAAGGGTGGATTTGCACAAATTGAGTCCCAGAGTGAAGACAGAGAAGGATGAAGGCTTTGGAAAACTTCAACTCTCGGGGTGGAAATCTTTGGAAACTGAGAGAGACAGTTAAAAGAACCACATGATTTCTATCCACTTTCCACAGAAACACACCAATATTGTAATGTTGGTAAAGTGACACTAGGTGTCGCTGTTGAACAACGGCTCTGCACCAAACACAATCACTCACTTGTCATTCAACTTTAGCCTCTTGAAGAATAATACATAGCTTTTTTCCTGATTTATTTCAGGATAAAGAAGGGGGAAGTTATACTTTAATTTCTAACCGTACAGATTATCCACATCTCCCTTAAACTTGCAACCTTAAGGAGAGCAGATCATGAAGGAGTCTGCAATCACTTATTATTATTATTATTATTATTATTGTTATTATTATTAAACTTTATTTGTACCCCGCTAGCATCTCCTGCAGGACTCGATGCGGCTTACAAAGGCCGAGGCCTCAACACAACAACAGGAAAACAATAACAATACAAAACAAAGCAAATTAAAAACATAAGCAATAACAAAACATTACACCATTACGCAATAAAAACCAGGGCCGGGCCAGTGATGGGTACAGGTTAAAAAGTGCTGGGTGTGGCAGGAGGTATGTTGGGATTCTGGGCAAGTGCAGAGTGCAGAGAGTCTTAAGCTCTAATAAAGTGCTTCTGGGACGTAGTGCTGGAGGTTATCCTATTCTGGAAAGGCACATCGGAATAGTCAGGTCTTTAAGTTCTTCCTAAAGACTGCCAACGTGGGTGCTAGTCTATTGTCTTTGGGGAGGGTGTTCCAGAGTCGGGGGGCAACCACCGAGAAGGCCCTGTCCCTCGTCCCCACCAAACGCGCCTGCGACGCAGGTGGAATCGGGAGCAGGGCCTCTCCGGATAAACGGAGGGAGCGCGTGGGTTCATATACAGAGATGTGGTCACGCAGGTAGGCAGGTCCCAAACCGTTTAGGGCTTTGTAGGTAAGCACCTGCACCTTGAATTGGGCTCGATAGGTAAATGGCAGCCAATGGAGCTCCTTAAACAGGAGGGTTGACCTCTCTCTGTAAGGAGCGCCAGTTAACATCCTGGCCACCGCCCGTTGAACCAGTTGGAATTTCCGAGCCGTTTTCAAGGGCAGCCCCACGTAGGGTGCATTACAATCCAATCGAGAGGTGACCAAGGCATGGACCACCCCGGCCAGATCAACCTTTGCGAGGTATGGTCGCAGCTGGGTAGCCTAGCAGCTGCAATGTCAACAATGAGGATATTTAGTTAAGAGTTAGCCTGGCTGTTGCTGCTTGGAGGCATCCTTTATTTGGGAGGTGTTCACTGGCACTTGATTGTTTGTTCCCTGGAATTCCCCTGTTTCTGAGTGGTGCTCCTCATTTACTTTCTTGATTCTGGTGTGTTTTTTTAAATACTGGTAGCCGATTTTGTTCATTTTCATGGTTTCTTCCTTTCTGTTGAAACTGTCCACATGCTTATGGATTTCAATGGCTTCTCTGTGTAGTCTGACATGGTGGTTGGGAAGAAGACCTACAAGCCACTCTAAACACCTTCGCAGAAGCATACGAGAAGCTCGGCCTGTTATTAAACATCAAGAAAACCAAAGTACTCTTCCAGCAGTCCCCAGCCAATCCCTCTCCAATGCCAGAAATACAGTTTAACGATGTAACATTAGAAAATGTTGATCATTTCCGCTTCCTTGGCAGCCACCTCTCCACCAAAGTCAACATTGACACTGAAATACATCACTGCCTGAGCTTTGCGAGTGCAGCATTCTTCTGAATGAAACAGAGATGGTTTGAGGGTTTAGAATGCTGCTCTGGGCAATTGCAACTATTCATAAACTGGGAGGCAAAAACCCATGAAACAGCGACTCTGTAAAAAGTGAACCACGAAGTACTGAGGGAACACTGTATTCATTTTAGATGCTGAGAAGGCTTTTGATAACATTCATTGGGAATTCATTTTAAAAGTATTGATTTACTATGGGGTGGGTCAGTGATTCCCAAAGTGGGCGTTACCGTCCCCTGGTGGGTGCTGCAGTGATCAGGGGGAGGGGGTGGTAATGGCCACAGGTGCATTTGGGGGCGATGAATAACTATAAGGGGGTGGTGAAAACGTAAAAGAAAGAAGAGAAGATTTAGAAAAATTAATTTCCAGGGGGTAGGCCAAATAAGTTTGGGAACCACTGGGGTGGGTCAACAATTTAAATGGATGGTTGCCACTATGTATTCAAATCAAAAAGCTAAATTAAGGATAAATGGTCAAATGTCAAATTACCGTATATTCTGGCATATAAGACTACTTTTTAACCCAAGAAAATATTCGCAAAAAGTCAAGGGTCGTCTCATACGCGGGAGTAGTCTTATACACCAGGAGTCGTCTTATAGAGCAGGTACTGAAACTTCCAATCCGGATTGAAGAATCTGTGGTTGCTGCATATTGTGGGGGCCCCCTCAAAAATGGCAGTGGCCACATCCCTGGCGTATGCAGCGACTGTATGAAAGCATTAAGGGTGACGCTGTACAAGTACGGTAGAAGAAAATCCATTCATCAGGATTCGTGGACTTAATGCGGTCCCGATGGTGAGGTGAAGGGCCGCTTCACCGGGAAGGTGTCAGTGAAGGGCGGAGCAAGCTGCAGGCGTCCAGGGTGCCCGGGGTATGGAAAAAAGAGATAGAGTGGCTCTGGGCCCAGACAAACACACCTCTTTTACCTGTCTGGTCCATCCTTGTATACTATTACCGTACCTCCTCCTCTGCCTCTCAGATCTCGCTCCTGAAGACTGCCATGAAGCAGTGCAGGTGCGCATGTGTGAGATCTGAGAGGCTGTTGGGGTTCAGCCTGAGTTTGAACTTGAACCTGATTCTCTGTTTGTTCCTCCTGATGCTAATGAAAATATATTTACTGATGCTAATGAAAATGTACTTCCTGATGCTAATGAAAATGTCAATGCTCATGAAATTAGTGAGGAAGAAACTTCTGTAGATTTGGAAAATGAAAGTACCAGTGTTCATGAGAATGTTTCAGAGGGAAGCCATGACGTTTCACTCCCTTCTGCACCTGGTAACTTTAATGAGAACGGAAGGGGCCAGATTTGGCAAGACAGGAGTGAATCACTCAGCTTGCGAAGGTCTTCCAGATTAAAAGAAATACAAACAACGGCTTCAAAGCAGGGAGGCGTTTCACGAAACCAATTCCTCGGCTTTAAGTGCCTTCCGCCAGGCTGACTTTCTCAGTTCAGGCATCGTTTTAGATTGATGAAGACCTTGGCAGTTCTCCCGGTTTCCCTGGCCATCGTCTTGAAAGATTTCTAGGACATCAAGTACGGTTAGTGGATTGCTAACAGGTTCCAGTATTTTACAGTGTGGCTTTGGGTTTTGATCTTGTCCATGGACATTCATGTTTGCTGATTTTGCTGTGGCTTTTGACTTTGCATTTTTCCTGTATTTTGTAACCATTTTTCATCAATAAAAAAGGATTGTTTTTTCACAGTCAAGTGTGGTGGATGGTTATCTTAGGGCCTCGTTTCCTGCTCTGGGTTGCAACAGAGGCAGAGAAGGAAGGACAGTAATAGGAATATTACCAAATTGAAATCAAATCTGATGCTTTTTAAATTTTTATTTGGTGAGCATTGGAAGAGGGATAGTCTTATACGCCGAGTATATCCCAAACTCTATATTTTAACTGGAAAAGTTGGAGGTCGTCTTATACGCCCAGTCATCTTATATACACACTGGGAGGCAAAACCCCATGAAACAGCAAGTCCACGAAAAGCGAACCATGAAGTAGTGAGGGAACACTGTACTTACTTACTTACCCATTGGCCTGTAGAGCCCAGTTTAGGGGGATCAGTTCACGCTGAAGGAGATGAACCGAACCTCCTGGTGCATCTGTAGTGCATCGGTTCTGCACTCCAGATGCACACATCCCTCCCTGTTTGCACTGCTGCTCCCAGCACCTGCAGCTCATGCTCCGGATAAGTGCTGTGCTTCCATTACCTGACACGGGCAATCCCTTTGCGGCCAGAACACTTCCAAGGATGTTACAGCGAGGATCTTTGATGCCCGCCATAACAGCTCGGCCCCATGGAGCAAGAAAGGTCAGCGGTGCTTCTTAATCACCTTAATCCCCTTTTAATAAACCCCGCCGTGAATCGCACAGCCCTGGCAGCAAAGCGGCACCATAAATCTACCGAAGGGCTCCTTCTCTCCCTGGCAGCTTAGTGCGGATGCCGGGGAACCCGGGCAGAGCAGCATGACCTTTGCAAACGCAGCCTCAGGGCTCCCTTATATTCTTTCCATATTCCCAGTTTACACATGCAACCGATAAATGAATAACACAATAAACTAAACTCCTATGGCTCAACGTTATGGAATATTTTATTCGGGGAGATAGTATCTATCTATCTATCTATCTATCTATCTATCTGTTATTCAAATGAGTTTCTTTTTTGTACAAGGACCAAGTAGCAACAGTCAGAACTGACCATGGAACAACAGACGGGTTCAAGATTGGGAAAGGCGTACGGCAAGGCTGCATTTTTATTTATATAGATTGTTGCTGGGGGAAGGGGCTCCCCAACTGATGACCCAGGAGACATGGTGGAACTGTGTCTTCCTGGCTCCCCTTCTTTGCCCTGGACCCAGAGTGGCATCGTCATCATCTTTCTATCATCTTTTGAAAGCTGAGCCTAGGCCATTCACATTTAAAGAAATGAATACAGTATTTTCCAATGATTTGATTTAAGTTATGATTGTGATATTTATATATACCCTGCTTCATTTCTTCTAAAGGAGACTCAGGTTATATTTCCCAAAGTCTATATCTATGGAATAGCGATTGTACTGAATTTGCTAATTTCTAGATGCTGTGCCATTTCACCGGAACTCTTGACTGTTTGACCGTGGCACAGCTGGCTGGGAGTCAGCTGCATTAAGATCACTACTGACCGAAAGATCATGAGTTCGAAGCCAGCCCGGGTCGGAGTGAGCTCCCAACCAAAATTGTGTAGTTTGTTGTCGACCTTTGCAACCCGACAAGACAGTGGCATCTATCAAGTAGGAAATTTAGGTACCACCTATGTGTGGGGAGGCTAATTTAACTAATTTACAATGCCATAAAAATCTCCAACAAGCATGCAAAGAATGAGGAAGTACTCCATCAGTGTCACAAATGGACGGTGAAGCAACAGCTCCCCCGGTGGCCAGAATGCCCTCATAAAAAAGTTAAATTGCCTCTGTGTCTGTCTATACCTGTTGTGTGTCTATGGCATTGAATGTTTGCCATGTATATGTGCATTGTGATCCACCCTGAGTCCCCTGCGGGGTGAGAAGGGTGGAATATAAATACTGTAAATAAATAAATAAATAAATAAATAAATGGCATCAAAGTGGTATAACTGTGCAGTGTGAACACAGGTCTCCCTTCACAGCACAAAAAATGGCTTTCTTGCACAGAAACAGAGAAGAGAGGACTTTGCACAAAAACCACATTTGTTTTCTGTAAGACAACTCTACCCTAACAACCTCCCCAGGGATCTATAATACATTTAAATGGCCGTTAAAGTGGTATCAAAGAGTTCCTTTGCAACACTGGGATGGATAAAATCTTATGGCAGGATATTAATTTTCTCCTCCACTGGAAAGAAAAACTCCCAAAAGCCCTCCTATGGAAAGACATTTGCAAAGCTGCTTCACAATAGGGTGCACCTGCAATTCCGCACTTTGGAACGAATGCAGTTTGACACCACTTTAATGCTATGGAATCATGCAATTTTACAAGCTCTGCCAAAGAGTGTTGGGGCCTGACCAAAACTACAGGTCCCAGGATTCCCTAGCATTGAGCTATGGCTACTATAGCGGTTTCAAAGTGCATTCATTCTATGGTGGAGATTGCAATTCACCCGAAGGCTTGACTTACCAGGATGACGCAAACCACGGTCCCTGAATCCTTGTCCACCAATGGGATGATCAACACTGAAAAGCAAATAAAAAGCACAGTTAGGATCAAGAGTTTAGCAAACGGGGAAGTTGGGACTATATAGGTATAGGTATAGGTATAGGTATAGGTATAGGTATAGGTATAGGTATAGGTATAGGTATAGGTATAGATGTAGGTAAAGGTAAAGGTAAAGGTTTTCCCCTGACATGAAGTCCAGTCGTGCCCGACTCTGGGGGTTGGTGCTCCTCTCCATTTCTAAGCCAAAGAGCCAGTGTTGTCCATAGACACCTCCAAGCTCATGTGGCCAGTATGATTGCATGGAGAGCCAAGAGATAGAGATAGAGATAGAGAGAGATAGAGAGAAAGAGAGAAAGAGAGAGAGAGAGGTGGATCTTGCTGGGTCTGTAGGCGCATCTGAAGGTCTTCCCTCACCTTTCTTCTCGGGGGCCAGAGGTGCGGCCAAACCGGCCACCGGCTTCCCTTGGAGGTCGGCCAGCGGCAGCCCATTGCATTCCACTCTCTTCTGCTTGAGGACAGCATCCCTGGAGGAGGAAGAAAAGGAGAAAAAGGCATGAAGGAGAGGCCAAAGGTGGCCAAGGACGGGCAAGATCAACACATCTGACAGCCATACATGGGAGGCATCTAGGTAAAGGTTTTCCCTTGACAATAAGTCCAGTCGTGTCCAATTCGGGAGGTTGGTGCTCATCGCCATTTCTAAGCCGGAGAGCCAGGGTTGTCCATAGACACCTCCAAGGTCATGTGGCCAGCATGACTGCATGGAGTGCCTTTACCTTCCCGCAAAGCGGTCCGTATTGATCTGCTCACATTTAGATGTTTACGAACTGCTAGGTTGGCAGGAGCTGGGCCTAACAGTGGGAGCTCACCCTGCTCCCCGGATCGAACAACCAACCTTTCAGTCAGCACGTTCAGCAGCTCAGCGGTTTAACCCGCTGCGCCACCGGGGGCTCCTGGGACCAAAAAGGTCGGCCTATAGAAATATTTAAACAGTCTCATACAATAGACAAGTAAAGAAGTGTCGGTTATTATGATTCCAGAAATGAAAAGCAAAAGAAAGAAGTCACTACTAGAATCTTTTTTTCGTTTTTGAAAGATATTTGGCATTTCTTTGCCTCCTGCGCTGTTTCCCCCCCCCCCCCCACCACCAAGCGAACAGCTTGTGTTGTGATATTTCCTTCTTTTTTTGCCTTGTCAGGATTATTGCCAAAAAGACCCTTTGGCATTTTGAAGGATTTGATGATAAGCCACAGAAAGTTGGAGAAAAATCCATGGTTCCGTCTGAACATGAGGCTTCAGATATGAGTTGGCCAAAGAAAAGAGACTCAAAGAACTGGAAGTTCCTCATTTTCCAATAGGTTGCATCTACACCAGGCCTGGGCAAACTTTGGACTCCAAATCCCACAATTCCTAACAGTATCAGACCCCTTCCTTTCATTCCTTTCCTTTTTGCTTAAGTGGTGGAGTTTTATGTTTGCTTTATGTTTTCTGTATGCAGGGGTAAAGGTGTAGGTTAGTGAGGGTGTGAGTTCTTATATAGGTTAAACAGGAAGCAAACACTCACTCCCAGAGAGCTTCAAAGCACAGGGAACAATGAGTCACTAATTGCTTCCCTGAAATGTCATTTTCTAATTACCCAGACAGTCTTGAAGCATGAATTTTCAATTTGTTTACCGTTGTTTAATCCAGGAAGAGGCAAACTTGGGCTCTCCAGGTGTTTTGGACTTCAACTCCCACAATTCCCAACAATCTCAGACCCCTTCCTTTCATTCCTTTCCTTTTTGCTTAAGTGGTGGAGTTTTATGTTTGCTTTATGTTTTCTGTTTACAGGGGTAAAGGTGTGGGTTAGTGAGGGTGTGAGTTCTGGCTTATATAGGTTAAACAGGAAGCAAACACTCACTCCCAGAGAGCTTCAAAGCACAGGGAACAATGAGTCACTAATTGCTTCCCTGAAATGTCATTTTCTAATTACCCAGACAGTCTTGAAGCATGAATTTTCAATTTGTTTACCGTTGTTTAATCCAGGAAGAGGCAAACTTGGGCTCTCCAGGTGTTTTGGACTTCAACTCCCACAATTCCCAACAATCTCAGACCCCTTCCTTTCATTCCTTTCCTTTTTGCTTAAGTGGTGGAGTTTTATGTTTGCTTTATGTTTTCTGTTTACAGGGGTAAAGGTGTGGGTTAGTGAGGGTGTGAGTTCTGGCTTATATAGGTTAAACAGGAAGCAAACACTCACTCCCAGAGAGCTTCAAAGCACAGGGAACAATGAGTCACTAATTGCTTCCCTGAAATGTCATTTTCTAATTACCCAGACAGTCTTTAAGTATGAATTTTCAATTTGTTTACCTTTGTTTAATCCAGGAAGAGGCAAACTTGGGCCCTCCAGGTGTTTTGGACTTCAACTCCCACAATTCCTAACAGCCTACCGGCTGTTAGGAATTGTGGGAGTTGGAGTCCAAAACACCTGGAGGACCCAAGTTTGCCCATGTCTGGTCTACACTGTAGAAGGAATGTTATTTTACCCCATTTTAACTCATGTGGCTCAAATCTATGAGATCCTGGGAGTTGTAGTTTTACAATGTCTTTAGCCTTCCCGGCCATAGAGTTTGGATACTTTACCAAACTACAACTTGGCCCTAGCAATTAAAGTGGCACTGAACTGCAATAATTCTCCAGCAGATGCATCTTCTGACTATTTTAACCATCAGCAGTTGATAAAGGATGCATGCATACTGCGAAATGAATGCAGTCTGACACCATTTGACTCAATGCTATGGAGTCCTGAGGTTTGTAGTTTGGTGGGGCCCCAGCCCTCCTTGGCAGAGAAGGCTAAAGAACTTATCAAACTACAAAAGACAGGAAAGGAGAGTCCACCTGAACATTAGGAAGAACTTCCTGGCTGTAAGAAGAGCTGTTCAGCAGTGGAACTCTCTGCCTTGGAATGTAGTGGAAGCTTCTTCTTTGGAGGCTTTGAAACAGAGGCTGGATGGCCATCTGTCAGGAGGGCTTTGTGCTTTTCCTGCATGGCAGAAGGGGGTTGGACTGGATGGCCCACAAGGTCTCTTCCAACTCTATTATTGTATGATTCTATGATTCCATCACATTGAGCCAGAGCACATCAGGTAGTAAACAAACTGCATTAATTCCACAGTGTAGATGGACTCAAAGTCTTCAATGTGCAATGCAAGAGACTCCACTTAGGCAGAAAAAAAAAGCAAAGATACAGAATGGGGGATGCATCGCTAGATGGCAATCCGTGTGAAAGAGATCTTGGAGTCCTCGTGGACAACAAGTTAAACATTAGCCAACAATGTCATGTGGCAGCAAAAAAATATATATATATGGGATTTTGGCCTGCATCAATAGGAATCTAGTATCTAGATCTGGGGGAGTCATGCTCCCCATGCTCTATTCCACCTTGGTTAGACCACACCTGGAATATTGTGTCCAATTCTGGGCACCGCAATTGAAGAGAGATATTGACAAGTTGGAATGTGTCTAGAGGAGGGCGATTCAAATGATCAAGGGTCTGGAGAACAAGCCCTATGAGGAGCGGCTTAGTGAACTGGGCATGTTTAGCCTGAAGAAGAGAAGGCTGAGAGGAGACAAGATAGCCATGTATAACTATGTGAGAGGAAGTCGTAGGGAGGAGGGAGCAAGCTTGTCTTCTGCTTCCCTGGAAACTTCGGCCCTCTAGTCCGTTAGGAATTGTGGGAGTTGAAGTCCAAAACACCCGGATGGAGGGCCAAAGATTTCTCATGCCTAATTTAGACTGTAGAATGAATGCAGTTTGGCACCACTCAAACCACCATCTATATATATATAAAGGTTAACGTCGTCCTTAGTGGTTCAGAAACAGAAAAACTACTGGACCAAATCTCACCAAATTTGGCCTTCTAATGCCTCATACCCCAAGGTATGACCAACAATCATCAAAATTCCAATAAACACCAAAACAAACTCACAAATTCAAAACAACACGGAGCATGCGCACAGGGCTGGGGAGGATGCATGCGCGCAGGAGAGCTCCTCCATCGTCTCTCTCTCTCTCTCACCTCGTCTCCACAGTCCTCCTTTCTCTGGCCACTTGCTTCCCCCCACCTCCATTGCCTTCTCCTCATGCAATATAATTTAATCTATATTTAATCTATATTTAATCTATATTTCTCATACAAATAAATAAAGGAAGGAAGACGATGAGGAGGATGGAGGACCCTTCGCCGGTCTCAAAACCAGGCGGGAGTTGTCGTTCACCTACATCTAGAGAGCACTGTGAACTCAAACTATGATGGATCTGGGCCAAACTTGGCACAAATTACTCAATATGCCCAAATATAAACACAGATGGAGTTTGGGGAAAATAGACCTTGACATTTGGGAGTTGTAGTCACTGGGATTCACAGTTCACCTACAATCAAAAAGCATTCTGAACCCCATGAACGACAGAATCCGGGCAGACTTTCCACACAGAACCCCCACAACCAACAGAAAATACTTGAGGCCATCCAATCCAACTCCCTTCATCAGGGCAAGAAAATGTCATCAAACCCCTCCTGACAAAGAGCCATCCAGCCATTGATATAGATAGATAGATAGATAGATAGATAGATAGATAGATAGATGATATGATTCACAAACAGAGAGATATAGTATCATAGATTTGAAAGGGACCCTTAAAGAAGGACAACTATATGTTGCATGTTCCAGAGTAGGCAAACCAGACACTCTCCACATCAACACTGACAAAGACACAGCAAGAAATACTGTTTACTCACAAGCATAATTATATATATTAGAAACCAACACTTTCTCATTACTTTATTTCCCAGATCAACAGACTGGGCCACAGCAACGTGTGGCAGGGGACAGCTAGTTAATTCTACAATAGTGTGGATGTACTTCTGAATCAAAGAACTGGGAGGGCGCCAGGTGGGATATCAAAAGGAGAGGGAAACAACCGGCATCTTCTTCGGGTGAATACGAGACGATCGGATCTACCACCAACTCATCAATGCAGCTCCTTGTCATTTATCAGCCAGAGAGGACCAAAGGAAAGACGGATTTGCGGCTCTCTGGGTCATTAGGCAGGGCCCCAAAGCCCCCGGCAGTGATGGATGTCGCCGTCTGACACATCCATCCAGACATCATTATTCACGCAGGACGGAGCAGTGAGGACGGAGGCATTCGCTATCACACACCACAATGGAAGCATCATTAGTCACCAGAAAGGTGGGAACACCTTTCCAAGAGGTCGTCTGGCTACCTGCCTGGCTGCCAGGATGAGAATCCAAGAAGATCCTCGAGTTGGAAAGGATCCCAAAAGGCCATCCAGTCCAACCCCCTTCTTTCTGCCAGGCTTGGAGACACCATCAAAGCCCTCCCGACAGGTGGCCACCCAGCCTCTGCTTAGATGACATGATGGCAACAGTCTTGGATAGCATTGGCTCCCAAAGTGACTCATTTAAGGTCAAATCAGGTGTCAAGTTCCAACTTTATTTTCCATCTTCATCACTATGTTTGGAAAAGT